TTTGAACAAAATTTAGTAATTTCTATTAACAATGACAGAATCCCCATAGTTCAGGAGACAAAAAATCTAGGCATTATATTTGATAGCTCGCTTGGCTTCGGCAGTCATATAAAAAACAGAACAAATTTAGCTTACATGCGACTAAAAAATATAAACAAATCAAAAAAACATTTATCAGCCAAACAAAAATATTATTTGTGTAATACCTTAATTTTATCACTTTTTGACTATGGAGATGTCGTCTATGGTGATTCGCTATCGTCGCGAACCAAAAAATGCATACAAAAAGTTCAAAATAGTTGCATGAGATTTGCATTTGGAATTCCATATCGAAACCATGTCACTCCTTATCTGAATAACTACAACATACCTATTAAACATGACGAATCGCAGAAAATATCACATGTATTCTTTTATCTATAGGGTTATAAAAACAGGTCAACCGTCCTATTTAAGAGAAAGATTTGTGCCTTTGCCTAGTGCCCAGAGAAGTAGAAATAATCTCAATTTTATCGTACCTAGGCATAGAACGCGTTCCTTCCGACAATCGTTTGCCTATGTGGTGGTTCACTTATGGAATAATTTACCAACTTCAGTTAAAAGCTCATCGTCAAAAACATTCTCAAAACTGACAAAAACGTTGTTACAGAATCACCAGCTACTTTAGCAGCGTTTGTGTGAGCAAAATAACGTTTTTACATTCCTACTCGCTGACAAGTTGTATAGATTTGTTTTTCGCGTCCGTTGCCAGCTCCCGGGGGTTCTCTCTTCGTTTTTGCCTTTTTTGTGTTTCACTGCCTCTTCATTTGCCTCTTTATTGTATTTTTTATTTTGTTTAAGAACTTTTAGGGTATTCAGGGCTTTCTCGCATGGACTCTTTGTATTAAAGTGTCCAATGTATCGGTTTTATAATCGAGAGACTGTCCTTTTTCGTCATTACTCTATATGTAGAATTTCTTTTGTTTATGATGTTTATTCAGGACGAAATAAATATTTTGAATTTGAATTTGAATTTGAATTTGAATCATGTCGGCATTCTTAGGGCACTACTGACGTACGCCGACCAACAAAAATGACGCAGGAATGACGTCATTACGACAGTCTAATGTCATTATATGACGTCACATTAAGTCGTATAAGAGACCAAATGCAAAGTCGATATGACATTTGTATGACGTGAATATGACGTCTATGTGACGTCGATATTATGTACAGTCGCTCGTAAAAATACAAATATTCTAGTAAAACTTGTTTATTGTTACACAGATGAGTTTCTAATAAATTTGTTATTTAATGAACTGAAATGTGTAAAATGGCAATTTGAAACATGGAACAATATTACGAGGGATGTCTTTTAAGTTTTGCATATAAAGCGCGGATCAAACGTCAGTACTGAATCTTACCCTCACTCTTTAGTAAACTTAAATTCAAAGTTTCACAACAATACGTGCAGCAGTGTTCTCACTACAGTGAATTTTTAAGTGTCACCAAGTCATTAGAAAAATGGAACTCAACCGAGAACATTTTCGCGCCATAATTTATTACAACTTTCAGAGACAATTATAGCAACGAGAATGCCTTGCTGAGTTACTGTCTGTTTTCGGCAACGAAGCGCCACATCAGTAGATAATTTCCCGTTGGTATGGAGAATTCAAACGTGGACGGGTGAGTCTTAGGCCCGTATCGTCAGTCGTCCCTACAATTGTAGGGCGCGTTTATGGCCTCCTTGATTATCATATTGCTTCCTCTCCTTCAAAAAGTTCTAGATTACATTTGTCCCGTGTCAGCGTCAGCGCTCTCCTATTGTGAAGATATGTTTTCTTTTTAAATTGTACGAAATTTCAGGCTGATAATACATGATATAACTCAAAAGCAAGCACAATTTGATGCAAATAAATGTTTGTGACATAACCTCAAAATAGAGTTCTGACACGGAGAAGTAGAAAACTATGACAATCAAGAAAGCCATAAACGAGCCCTACAATTGTAGGGACGACTCACGATACGGGCCTTAGCGACGATCCCAGGGTGGGTGCACCAAAAACGGCAGTCACCCAGGAAAACGTCGATGCTCAAACTCATCTTTGAAGATAGACATGTGACATATCGCGAGATTGAGGCATCCTTGAAGATCTCAAAGACCTCAATTCAAAAAATTTTACATGAAAAATTAGGAGTAAGAAAATTAGTTTCTCGTTGGATACCCCACCTGTTGACTGAAGAGCAGAAAGCAGGCAGGGTTAATTGGCGTCAAAAAACGCTTGACCGTTTAAATTCCGGAAACTCAAAAAATGTGTACAGCATTCAGTTATTAACCAGAAAATAAACGACAGTCGGCTGTTTGAGTGTTCCAAGGTGAAGAAAAGCCAACAAAAGTCATCCGTTCGCGAAGTGTTTCGAAAAAGATGGTCGCGATATTTGTGTCAAAAGCGGGTCATATTGCAACAATTCCTCTTAATGAGCAAAGAACTGTTACTGCGGATTGGTATACCACCATTTGTTTGTCAAAAGTCATCACCGAGCTTCGGAAAATCAACCCCGAAAGAAGAATCTTTCTCCACCAAAACAATGCAAGCTCGCACACAGCTCAAAAAACAAGGTAGTATTTAACGGAAGAAAACGTGGAATTATTGGACCATCCTCCATATAGTCCCGATCTAAGTCCTAACAATTTCTTTACTTTACCGAAAGTTAAGAACACACTGCGTGGTCAAAGCAGTTGACGCATTCAAAAATGCCGTATGGATCTGCCAGCAAACGAGTGGAATAAGTGCTTCGAAAATTGGTTCGAGCGCATGCAGATGTGTATTAATCTTCGTGGAGAATACTTCGAAAAACAATAAAGTCATTTAAAACTACCTACCGTGTTGTTTTATTTCCATATGCAAAACTTAAAAGACATCCCTCGTATTAGAAGTCATATTAACAAGATATTTTTGGTCCTTCGACTGCAATTCCTGATACTTTTATATAAATAACAATAAAATAGCTATAATTATTTTAATAAGTTTACTTTACTGTACTATATTTTCTTTGTAAGTAAGTGTCCTTAAAAAGACGTCAAAATGACACCCTTTTAAAGGACGTCTTGTTGTCGTCATAAAAATGGCGTCAATAAAGACGTCATTTTTTTAGTAAATGAGAGACTGAAAAATGACGTCATATTGGCGTCATCATGTTCACTGCAATATTATGTAACTACAACAAATAGCCATGTGTTTGTCAAATAAACTTGAGAAGTTAATTTTACCAGACCATATCCATTCCACCAACCTGAGTAATGATATGTACCCGTGTGTTTTGTTTCCATGGATGATGCAATGTTTTATTTACTCTGATAAACAATTTTCGAAAAAAAAACTAGTGATGGCTCAAATAGTGACATTTTACTTCAGGCTTACTGGCGATGAACTATGTAATAGAAAAAAATCCTTTATGACCCAATGGCGACGTTGCGTGCGAAATGCAGAGTCAACTTACTTGACTGCATTTTTATTATGCTTAGGCTTCTATGGTGAATGATTTGTGGAAACATAACATGCTGCCTCTCGGCTATATTGCAAATAAAAAATGAATTATACTGACATATAAATACGAACACCCAGTTTAAATGGTTTTGTTTTAATAAAATTTTGTATAAGTACTTAATGAAGCATAATAAGTAAATGATAAAAATTTCAAAATGATTGCACTGCTTTAAAGCCCTTTGACCTTTAATAATGTGTGGATGCACCCTGATGTGCTACGCATTCTCCCACGCGCCTAGGCATGCTTCTGATCAGGTGGTCAATGTCCTCCTGTGGTATCTCATTCCAGACAACCACCAACTCCTCTCGAAGTGCTTCTAGAGTCTGAGGAGGACGTTGCAAATTGAGCAATCTCCTACCCATCATATCCCACACTTTCTCAATTGGGGATAAGTCGGGAGATCTTGGTGGCCATGGTAACAATAGGACATCATTATGTTGAAAGAAGTCTATTGTGACTCTTGCAACATGTGGTCGGGCATTATCTTGTTGGAAAGTTGGATCTGCCAGGGTGTCAAGATAGGGTAAAAGATGGGGTTCTAGAACTTCGTGGATATAACGCTGCGCGTTCATGTTACCTCTGATGAAGATTAAAGGTGACCTGGAACCATAAGCTATAGCACCCCAAACCGTAACTCCAACAGTGTGATGAACATGTCTTTCAACAAAAAACTTTGGATTCCTCCTTTCACCACGTCGCCTTCTAACCCTGGAACGACCATCGTGCATGCCTAAACAAAACCGAGGCTCGTCACTAAAGACAATACTGTTCCATTCCTGATCCCAGAGTGACCGTTGTCTGCACCACTCAAGGCGATTACGTCGGTATTCTCAAGTTAAAGGGAGGACCCAGTGTGGCCGGTATGAAAACAAGCCAAAACTTCTCATTCGTCAGTAAACACTTCGCATGCCAATAGGTCTTCCGTGTTCTGCAAACCATTCATTTGCAATGGACCTGGTAGTGGAGAAACGGTCCCTTAAGGCCAATAATCTTAGGCGGCGATCTTCACGGTCTGTTGTTCTACGGCGGCGTCCAGTGCCCCTTGCTCTTTGCGTACGGCCTTCTCGAAGCCATGCCTGACAACACCTAACCACAGTGTCTACACTTCTTTGCACTCTAACTGCAATTGCCCGAAAAGAAAGTCCAGCTTCCCGAAGTCCCACTATACGGCCCCTATCAAACTCACTAAGTTGACGAAATCGTACAGGTCTCCGTACTCTAGGCATCGTAACCGATCGTAAAGGATGTCAAGAACCAAAATCCGCCAACGTTGATTCTTTACTGCGGCTGAAATATTCATTTTTAGAGCGTTAGTGAATTAAAAAAAAGCAGTATAAAAACCGGAATGTCCAACTGATAAGGCTGAAAATTTTTTCACTTGTTATTTACAGTAAGATAAATACATTCACCAACTTTTATTAAAATAAAACCATTTAAACTGGGTGTTCGGATTTATATGTCACTTAGTATATATTCAAGCATAATTTTATTGAAATAAATACAATGTACTTTTGAAATTAAGGATAGAAGTTTCATTTAACGTGGAATAAACAGCAACGCTGTTAATTAAAATGCATACGAAAAATGTATCACAATTTATTTATTCACACTTTCAATTTTTTCGATGGCGGTCCCTCATCGGCAGACGATTTTTCAGTCAAATCAGTCAGTTTTCTATACCCCAGTTCACGTCCATAAGGCATCGAAATCGTATCTTCAGGCTTAATTACTCCATTTTGAATATAAGCTATTGTGGTATACATTGTATACCCTTTATCTATACTTAAGAATTCTTTATAAATTAAAAACGCCACTATATGTTCTGCTTGCTCCCGGGTACAAGGCGGTACTTTCATTCCTGAAAGTCTCAATTCCTTTGTCCCAATTTGAAACCAAGCTGAGATTAGTTTCATCAAAGTTAACTTCGTCTCTTTTTGACTTGCGGCCTCGATTATGGCCGAAATGTCCTTCAAGGCAGGAGCTACGTTGTAACACTGAATGTTTTTTGGCGATTTGCAGTTGTCGCACATTTTGGAGCAGTCTGTTTCCCGCCAGGTGTCTTCAAAGTGCTCTGCTATCACGGCTCGTCTGCATCTATAAAAAAATATCAAATTCTAATAATTTTATCATAATTTCAAGACATATGCTTATATGAACATTACTTTAAAAATAAAATCATTCATACTAAAAATGTGCTAGTGTTGTGATATGTGAATTCGTGAAAAATTCTTAGTTTACTTGATCCGACCGCCAAAACCAAAATAACGACTTACCTTTTAACTTCTATACAATATCCTAGGATATCCTTGGTGTTCTTTTCTTCTACTTTAGATGAAGCCATGCTAACGTTCCTTAAAAAATCGGAAAGTGCAAACAGCAAAATGCAACTTGATTTATTTCCATCTCTTCCTGCCCTTCCACTTTCTTGGTAGTAGCCCTCCATGCTTTTTGGTATTGTGTAATGAATCACAAAACGGACGTCTGGCTTATCTTAAAAAAAGAAAGAAATTGCACTTAGAACTTTTGGGAAAAAATTTACGCTCGGGCGATGTTATTTTATAACACATGGTTATTTAATCATCATTCCCGAATTCATCGGCCCAAACTACCTATTGGTGTGTGTACCTTGCTTCGGTTTTTTGTAACCGTTTAGCAAGAAAATTGAAATTCTAAGCCATATAGAAGTACATACCAGAATATTTAAAAAATATGTTATATGAGTGTTAACACCTATACGCATGCACCGGTAGTTGATACTACCGTTAGTACTGCCACTATAAGATAGATGGCGCGGGTAATACTACCTAAATCTATCATTAGTATCAATACGTGGTTCTGCCCACCGGTAGTTGGTACTAAACTGTATCCATCGAAGAAACAAAGTAAAATCAAAAATATACACCCGTATTGCACGTGATCAAGAACTTAACCGAAGGAGACGCTACAGGGCCGTATCGAGCTATTGTGACTGATCTATCAAAAAATGTCGTACAAGATATGTGTTGCTGTAAATTCTATCAAAAGCATAGTAAATTATCAGGAATATACCACGCCTTTCTAATCATATTTCGACATTAGGAATCAGTGCAAAAAATTCTGTATTCACCATTTCAGCAAAATGTTACTAAAACGCACACGAAAAAAACTTGTGGACCATCTCAATTGAAATTGTTCATATTTTATTATTAACTTACATATATACCCAATAATATTTACAAACCAACCTTCTATTCACAATGCAGAGCAAATTTTTTTGAGCAAATAGAAACTACAGACGTAGTAGTAGTAGTACAAAAGTTTATTACAGACTCCATAAAGTTTGTTAGTTTGATTGCTATTAAAATTTACATGAGAAATAGGAAGAAGGTCAAAATGGCACTATTATGCTTTGGACCTCCTAAATTAACCCTAATTTTGTGCAATTATAAATTTGGAATTTCCACATTAATAACTAGAAACTTACACTTTGATTGCAGTCTATAATGAACTTACCCGTCTTGCCAAAAAGCCCGTTAAACTACCAGTCTTAATGGTATCAATCGATTTATATGCTGTATTCCGAGGAGCTTGAATCATCAGAATTGTTGATGTCAATTATAAGGGGTTCAACTTGGGTGTCAATGATATTGTCCATATCCCACATTTTGGTTTCAACCTTCTCTTGGACATGGTCAATACATGTTCTCCATTTTGCTGGCGTAATTCTATCGACAGCAACATCAAACAGTTTTTTAAGGTCAGAAAACTTAAAAGTGCTGTTATTTGACGCCACGTATTGCTTGACGTCGGCCCAAATCAACTCGATAGGATTCAGTTCGCAGTGATAGGGAGGCAGCCTGAGAATCGTTTTATTTTGGTTTTTGGCCATTTCGTCAACAATTTTTAAATCATATTTATACTTATGTCGCTTGACTATATTTATCAGCTCAGCTTTGACCATTGTTTGGTCGAAGTCGATCTTCTTTGAGACAAGCCACTGTTGAATGTCTGCCTTTTTGGTGGCCATTGTTGGAATTTTTTCCAATTTTCTGGAGTGGTACGGGGCATTATCCATCACAATAACTGCGTTATCATCAAGTGTCGGCATAATTTTTTTGAACCAATTTTCAAATGAGTTACCATCCATTTCTTCGTGATAGTCTCCAGTTTTTTTGGATTCAAATGCCCACAATGCTTCAGGAACAAATCCATCTACGCTACCTATGTGGCAAATGATCAGGCGTTTTCCCTTGCCTGAAAGTAATTAGTTATTTTACTTCTCAGCGAGCGCACTAAATGACGAAATTAGGCAACTTACTCTTTTTAGGTTAGTGTAGGATAGGGTCTTAGATTAGTTTTTGGGTGAAGGAAATACTCAGGAACTTGGATGAGATAGCAAAACTGAGTTCGGAGCTTCCAAATCATTGATTCGATCAGAAAATGAATTATCTGCATCCAAAAAAGTTCATATACTTCAAAACTTACCTGCAGGATTTTTCAATCCCGTCGAAAGGCCATCTAAAAAAGCCTGCCTTGAGGACCTCACAGATCTGTCTACCCAAACCTTTCCCTGCGTATGCCCCGCGTTCACCCATGTTTCGTCTAAATAATAAATTTTTCTTCCTTCAGCGCGGAATTGCATAATTTTTCTAAGGTATTCTCTCCTCCAGATAACAATTTCCTCCTTTTCTATCAATAAACTATTCCTTCCTCTTTTCAAAAATCGAAAGTCTAGTTCTTTCTACAGCTTATGGAATGTAGATCTTTTAAAATTTGGCAGGTCCTCATCATCATTCACTTGCTTCAATATTTTATCTATTGTAGGTATTTCATTCCTGAAGAAAAAGTGATGTACTTTTCTTCTAATGGCACTTTTGTCAAAGTCATCTATTTTTTCGATGATTTTTTTTCTCGCTGGATATGTTTTTGGCTCAGATAGTGAGTGATTTTGTCTATATTCCTTCAAGATTTTGTAAACACTTGATCGACCTACTCCAGAAATTTCAGCAACCTTACATACGATATTTTCTATAGCCAATCCACTATTCTCTTGCATCTGGTTCTTGTAGATATTTAGAATAATTTGTTTTTCACCTGCGCTAAGATGAAGCTTTTTAGCCCTTTTTCTGGGTGACGTTAAGCTGATTTCAACCACTTCATCAGCTGTATCTGTGTCAGACATTTTAGACTAATATTAAATTTCCGCAAGAAAAATCAAGTCAAGACGTGCATAAAACGTTCGCGCTCATAAACGGGTATCCGTAACTGATTACAATCCTGTGCGTGGTGACGAACCATCAACGTGACGCTGAGAGTTCCCTCTACTATGCAGCGTTGCCAGGCTTAATGTCACAATGATCATGTTTTATTGGGAAAATTGTCAGAAATCGCCGAATGTTGAACAGAAACATTACAAGAAGTCTAACCTTGAAATGTGAGGCTACAAATCGATATTCTTATAGGGGGGAAGGGTAGGGAGCTGTTATGGTTCCTATTAACCTTGGTGAAAGTTGGAAACGGTAATATCATATATGGCATACATTCGGTTGAAGGTGTGTGCACGGAAAATAGATTGCGGATAGGATTTTAATAGATAAATCTGCACAAAAAAACACAAAAGGAGATTTTTGTATTTCCCTGAAGAATATCTCAAGGTTATTTCAGATGTACTCATCGAAACTTTATGGAAGGATTATCGAAACCTTATTTTCAATTGCGATAGGGCCACATACCTCGACATCGCATTAATGTGAAAAATAAGACAATAGAAAAAAATTCCCTCACTGATGCTATCTCTTAGGAAAAATTTATCTATAAAGATTGCACAAAAATTTTCTTCACCTTTTTGAGCTTGTTTTCGCATCTCCGTATATGCCGTTCATAATTTGCTGCAGACCAAATTGGAATATACCTTTGTGATGCCATTTATTGTTATAAAATGTCCTTTACAACAGTTATTGCACGTATTGCACCAACAGATTGATTTGTGATCCATGCGAATGTGATCAACCACTCTGGCGAAAACTCGCCGAGCGTGGCAACCGTGCGACTTTGTCTGGAGGCTCGTCGCTACAAGCCAATCAGGAAGAGGCCGACAGAGCGCCATGGCTACCGATCACGCGTTGATCACGAATCAACCACTGTTTACGATTACTTTGTAGCTTCGTTAGATACACTTTAGTATAGACTGTCAACAAAAATGTCAAAACAAAACATTTTAAAATGTCCAATTAAAAATGAAAATAGAGAAAACGTGCTATAATTAAATCTGAAAGAATCCTTGCATGTTTGTGATCAAAGTGATAGCTTATTTTTTGAAAATCGGGTGCATAGTTACGGATTGGCGATACATACGCTCACTTTCTACTATAAATTCTGCTACACGAAACTTTGCAATTTTAGAAAAGTCAAATCACAATTTGAAGGTAGAACTCATGGAGGGTCTGAAGTGCCCAATTTTGTACTCACCAATTCCCATACCAAAAGCTATGGTAGCTATAATAGCTTGATATTTGTTGTTCATCCACCTCTCCTGAATTTTCTTTTTTGCCTCAGATTCCAATTGTGCATGATATAACTGTACACTCACACCCCTTTCTCTCAACAGGTTGTTCAGATCTTCACATTCTTTTATAGTAGATGTGTAAATAATACCAGATTGATCCTTGTATTTTTTCATCATGATATCTTCAATTATATTTATACATTCATGTTTATCTGATGGCTTGTTGATCACCTGGAAAAACAAGACTCATGCTAAGTTCACAGGCATTGTTATTTTTTTGGAAATTACTATATAGTGAAAAATTACCTTATAAAATAAGTTTGGCCTATTGAATGGAGCTGTAATAATTAAAGCCTCCTGTAGACTAAGCATATTCTGAATATCCACCATAATATTCATGGTGGCTGTTGCAGTCAGTCCAAGAATAGGTACTCCAGAAAACATTGTTTTGAAAAAGCCTAAATGGTTATATTCAGGCCTAAAGTCATGTCCCCAAGTTGAGCAACAGTGCACTTCATCTGAGAAAAAAAACATAGTAAGGCACATTTCAATTAAAAGAAGTCTTCATCAAATGTTAAGACCTAGCGACAATATTTTTTAAAAAGCTGTTTGATTGACACACTAAAAAAATGAAGATTATTAACAATAAATATACTCACCAATAACTATCCTATCTAAGCCTCCTTTGTCAAAGCATTTCTGTAAATAGGTCATAAACAATTTACTCTTAGCAACCCACTCAGGTGTAACATACAATAGTTTCAAATTAGAAGGACCCTTTCCTAAGGCATCATGGACTTTTTTCTTCTCTTCTTTAGAACTGCTGGCATTCAGTGTTGCAGCTTCAATTCCTAGTTTCTTTAATGTCATTAGTTGGTCTTCTATCAATGATATAAGAGGTGATACTACTAGAGTCATTTTATTGTTCACCAATGCAGGCAACTAAAAACAGACAAAATTTTATATTGCAAAACCGACCCGTTCAGTTGGGTGTATCTTAAGGGTTCCCATACAAAAAATTAAGGGACTCCATACACTACACAGCAGGCTCTATTTCCTAAAGCCCACACTGCTTCTAGCTATAGCACTCTTAGCACCAAAAATCTGAATACTATTTTGATTATACCTGATATACTAAACTCTTTCCACCACCTGTTGGCATAAGAAGGAGCACATCCTTTTTAGATAATGTGGCATTGATAGCTGCCAGCTGCTTGGACCTAAATTTTTCGAATTTGAACGTCTCTCTCAACACTTTTTCTAACTTGTCAGACCATGGAAATTTTTTCTCTACCCATTCACCATGGTCTTTCCTTTTCCTTATTCTATCTAAGCCACGCTGATTTTGCAATTCTTCTTTTTCTGCAGTAAGAATCTTTATTTTGTTTGCTATTTTTCGCTGCTGATCTTGTAGGTCCTTAATGGTCCGCTCTATTTTGTTAATTCTTTGAATATATTCTGCAAAGAAAACACCTTTCTACGCTTGCAGTTTTAATTATTATCATGGAACTTACCATCGTCATCCATTTTATTTAAAAAAAAAAGGTAATACTATTTATGGGAATTAGAAAGCGAGTATTGCTTTTTTACTTAAACAATATTTTGAGATCTAGCCTCAAGTAAACACAAAATCAGCTGTTACCGGTCCTACTGACACGAAGGTTATGCAACCAGTCGTGCACTATAATAAGTGTGTTCCAAATGCAATGCAAAACTGTTTTGATGATTACTGACCTAGGACAATATCATTTTCAGGTAACAAGCCAGTTGCACATTTGTAGTGACCGTAATTGGTTTGCAACCACTAGTCAAACTGTAACTTGTGCTATATACTCAACACTGATGTCTAAGGCCCGTATCGTCTGTCGTCCCTACAATTGTAGGGCGCGTTTATGTCCTCCTTGATTGTCATAGTCCTTTCTCTCCTTCAAAAATTTCTAGATTACACTTGTCCCATGTCAGCGTCAGCGCTCTCCCCTTGTGAAGATATGTTTTCTTTTTAAATTGTAGGAAATTTCAGGCTGATAAAACATGATATAACTCAAAAGCAAGCACAATTTGATGCAAATAGGTGTTTGTGACATAACCTCAAAATAGAGTTCTGACACGGAGAAGTAGAAAACTATGACAATCAAGGAGGCCATAAAGGCGCTCTAGAATTGTAGGGACGACTGACGATACGGGCCTTAGAGCTATAGTTTTTCACGTTGCAAGGGCGAAGAATGCGATTCTAGAAAGTTGTCCGTTCAGTTCAAAATTATAGAGAACTCTCTGCTAGAACAAACCTTTATCTGACACATGGGCTATGCAACCAGTAATGCACGAAATGTGAGTTGAGAGTTGCATAGCTTTTCTAACCTCAAATTCTCTTAATATATATCCTTTTTAATTTAATTCTATAGAAAATGTTGATATGTAAATTAATTTCTAGACGACCCAAAGCAACTAGAATAGCATTTAACAATTTGTAAGTATCACGTTCCTTCCAATAAAATCGGTCTAACAAATGTTTTTCCAGGCCCCTGTATGTTTCGCTGTTTCAAAGAAAATTCTGCAAGAAATCTGATGATGTTGAAGGGCTAGAAAATATACCGGTAGAGCGAATCCGCAATTTTAGTATAATAGCGCACGTAGACCATGGCAAAAGTACCCTTGCTGATAGACTGCTTGAACATACAGGTGCTATCAAAGCGGGAAGAGACAAGAGTAATCAACAAGTTCTAGATAAGTTACAAGTTGAGAGAGAGCGTGGCATCACCGTCAAAGCGCAGACTGCTTCTTTATTGTACACTTACAATGGAGAAACATATCTACTCAATCTCATAGACACACCTGGACATGTAGACTTCTCCAACGAAGTGAGTTTTATTTTTACTAAATCACTAATTTTTTGCTAGAGCTTTTTAAAGTGGCCTTAGAGGTTCCTGACTCCAGAACATGTCACTAGGAAGCTTCAGAGCAAAGAAAATATTTGAAAATCAGGATCCCTTAATGCAGAGTTATGTAGCCTGATATACTTAGAATGATACCTAAGGCCTCACTTGAATGTAAATACTTTTGCAACTCCTCAGGAGGAGAGAATTTCTAGGACCTTAATTTTCCATAGCCTAATTGTTACAGGTTCATAGCAAATACTAAAGTGATTTTTATTGTATTTTCTACATTATTATATATTATAGTGATTTTTCGGATATTAGAAATATGATTCTACTTACTAGGAAATATGACTTTAGGTATCAAGATCCCTTTCAGCATGTCAAGGGGTAATCTTATTGGTTGATGCCAATGATGGAGTTCAAGCGCAAACTGTTGCTAATTTTTACCTAGCATTTGGTAATGACTTGGTGATCATACCTGTTCTCAATAAAATTGACCTGAAAAATGCTGATCCAGAAAGAGTCTGCAAACAGTTACATACCTTATTTGATATAGAACCAAATACTGTTTTAAAGGTAAATATATAGATCTTTTCATTTATATATGTGGGTGGTCTGAATTGTTTCTGATCTTAATGGGAAAATGGCAGCACTCATAAATAAAAGATAGTGAATTCCATTGGGCATCTGTTGACGGTTACTCACCAAAGTTTCAGTCATTTTGGATGCACAGTTGTTATGTAACAGTCGTTTGGGTGAGTTAATGTGAATGTTTTTGTGAAAATGGACAAAATCGAGTATCGAGCTGTCATTAAATATTTGTTTTTGGAAGACAATACGGCTACGCAAATCAAAGATGAGTTGGTTTCTATGAATGGGGACTCCGCACCATCATTTACCACAGTGAAATTTTGGGCAGCTGAATTTAAACCAAATGGTACTGACGACCGCCGAATTAAAGTGAGAGAGGTACAACATGTCAAAAGAACGTGTTTGTCACATGTTAAGTCAACATATGAATATTTACCTAAATACCTTTAGAAAATGAATTCATACTTCATTGCTCCATAAACAAATGTGTTATTAGTAGAAAAACTAAATTCCTTGTTTTTACATTATCTGCAATGAACACAATACAAGTCTGAATATAAATATAAGCACTTTTTTAAGAGGGATAAAAATATGTAGACAAATTCTTTTCAACATTAGTTTAGTACAGTTTTGTGTCAGAAGAGGATTAGTTTGTGTTCATCAAGTATTGTGGAATAAGTTGAGTGATTGCGTAGTCCAGAAATTTCTTTCGATGTAAAAACTTAGATCATTGAGTTATACAAAGATGGTTAACGTCAAGTCGACATTGCCAAAAATTTGAAGCTGAAGCGTAAAGCAGTTTGGGCAATATTGAACAAATATAAACAAAAAGGTATGTGTGACTGGAAGAGAGTATGTTTCAGTGACGAATCCAAGTTCAATATATTTCGATCAGATTGTGTTCATTACGTTAGACATCCTAGTGGACAAAGATTGAGCCCCAAGTACACCCTGCCCACTGTCAAACGGAGGCGGGTTTGATATGGTTTGGGGGTGCTTTTCGGGGTTTGGGATGGGACCTTTACATAGATGGATGGCATTATGGATAAGTTTGTATACACAGACATACTAAAAAAAACAGAAAAAATGTTTTGTATTTTTGTTAGGTGGAAACTTTCCAGACCACCCTCGTATTGTATATTATGGCCTGCTTTTTTGAGGACACGGTTGCTTATAACTGAATTACAAGTAGCTTTTATATTCCAGATATCAGCCAAAAAGGGTATAGGCATAGATGAAGTACTACAAGCAGTTGTAGAAAGATTGCCTTTCCCTTCAGTAGATAGAAATGCTAAGTTCAGAGCCCTTTTATTTGACAGTTCTTATGATAAGTATAGAGGGGCACTATCCCTAATTTTTGTCAAAGATGGAAGCATTTCTGTCGGTGACAATATCTGTTCAGTTAGTAATAAGAAAGAATATGAGGTTAGGACACTTGCTATGTTAAGGCCAGATGAAGTACCAGTAAAGAAACTGTACGTATACTCGTATGTCAAAGAAGGTTTTAAAAAAATTCTGACATTGCTACTTGCAGGATTGCAGGACAAATAGGTTTGCTTGGTTGTAATATGAGGTCTAGCAAAGAGGCTCTTATTGGTGATACCATACATCACGTTGACGAGCAAGTTGAAATACTGCCAGGATTCCAGCCTTTAAGACCAATGGTAAATCAAATATTCATTAATTTCATTCATTAACATATTCTACTTAAATCATGTGTATTCCATCCATCCGTCTATAAGACAGTCGCAAAACACAAAAATCAATTTAGAAATCTACTTGGAAGAAGTAAGAGTATTTGGTTCTGCTACCCTCTCATAGATTGCGTTAGAATCTTGAATCATTTTTTGGCCTCTCTAATGGTTATTTTAATTGCGTATCTTCAGGCATTTGTTAACGTGGAAACGCGGGAACACAGTGTATGTTTGACAATACATATCATTGTATAATACTCTAACTTGAGATCTGCGAGATATGGAGAGCTATATGAAATTTGAAAATAAGGTTTTCAAGTATTTAAGTGTGAAATGTTTTTGTTCTATAGATTAATTTTTTTATTTTCCTAATGAGTAAGCAATATTTTTCTATTTAAATTTGTTCATATAGTGTTTTAACAAGTTGCTATTTTACTCTAGTTTTGACAAAATGGCGCATCGATGGAAAACGATTTGTTTTAAATTGAACGGGTAATTCAATAATAATGATAAAAACTGCCATTCAATATCCAGGTAGAACAATAGTAAAAATAGATTTGAATTTCAAGGTTTTTGCTGGAATCTATCCCATGGATCAGTCTCAACATGTGAACCTAAGAAGTGCCATAGAAAAACTAACTTTGAATGATTCAGCTGTTACAGTTGACGTTGACACTAGGTAACTTTATTTTTAATTCATTTTTATAAACATAAACCGATTGTGGCTGATTGTATTGTTCAAGTCCAGCATTGGGTCACGGATGGAGGCTGGGCTTTTTAGGCTTACTACACATGGAAGTGTTCAGCCAAAGATTACAGCAAGAGCATGGTGCTGATGCAATCATGACAGCGCCTTCAGTCACGTATAAAATAAAACTAAAACCTACAAAGCAAATCATGAAAGATGGATCGGATATCATATATGTTAATAACCCTGCACACTGGCCAGATCACGTGAAAATTGAGGAAACTTTTGAACCAATGGTCAAAGGTATGCATACGAAAATACAATTAATTAATTATAACTCGCTACAGTTCTAAGAATGCATCTACTTAAGATCCACATACTTAATTACGAGGGCGGTGCAATAAGTACTTATGTTATAATGTAGTTTTACGTTAGCTTTGTCATTAAGAATGGCACTGCCATTGATGATTGGTTCAGACAATAAAAAATAATAAAATCTATTTCAGCTACGCTTATAACTCCCGACGAATATCTGGGGTCGATAATTTCCCTGTGCATGGAAAGAAGAGGTGTGCAAACTAATGCAACCAATATTGACAATAACAGAGTCATGTTACAATACGACCTTCCCTTATGCGAAATCGTCGTTGATTTTCACGATACTCTTAAAACCTTATCGTCTGGTTATGCCAGTTTTGATTATGAAGACAACGGATATCAGAGCAGCAGTCTGGTGAAGGTAAGACAAATTGTTTGTATTATAAGAAACCCTTTGTATACTCAGTGACATCAAGAAAAATAATTTCTTTAACTTTTTTTTTTTTTGGCAACATAATGAATATATTTCAGTCGTCTAAATGCAAAACCCGACAAGTCCATTTAAAGGAATTTTAGGGAAATCGCAAAAAACGTTTATAACGTCTATTTATCTTAACAGAAACCAGCAAATTGAAACAAAATTTTATCAAAAAAAAAATGTGTAACGAAAAACTGGTTCCCAAACATATGTTATAATTAATAATTACTTAAATTAAGATTAAAGTTTGGACTTGTCGGGTTTTGCATATAAAACATGGTGACTTGTCGGGTTTTGGTTATTAACTTTGGCTAAAACAAGGCGAATCGGCAAAACACGAACAAACTTTTGTATTATTTTATTACAAAGTAGTATTAAGAAAATGCACATTGCAAACAACATAAAATTTGTGTTTTCTAAATATCAAAATCTAAAGTTTCTTCTAAACAAAACAACTCTGTATTGGCCTCATTACCATCTCGTGAGGTTGAAGTGGATGGGAGAGGAAGTTTATCGAAGGCACTTTTTAAAAATGATAAGGCTTTATCATTTCGCCAATTACTTCCGTAATGTTTTGCAATCAAATTACTGATACACTTCTTCTTATCCGATTTCAATGGCATTCCAATGTCTACAGTGTTTGGTTTGATGTCCAACTTTCTTCCTCTCCTCAGCAGCGACTGGTTGGTGTCCATGTCATTCTTATAGAAACTTTCACCTCTTACTGCATAACCGGTTTCAGTTTTTGAAATTATGATGCGTTTGGACACTTGCAACTTGAAATGCCACTGTGATGTTGGTTTCATAACTATCTGAACTGTTGACTTCCAGTCCTGTACAGGAACATCAACTCCCAACTTGTAGATGCTTCCCCACTTCTCTATTACTTTCATGTATTGTTCTGGACTTGTAATTTCAGGTGACTTTTTAATAACCCTCTCAATTTGTCCAAATAGCCTATCTGGTGGAATATAGGAATGCCCCACAACCGGAAAAAATATTTCAATTTTGTCTATGTTGGGGGTACTGCACTTTAATAACCAATGGGATAACATCCCAATGACGATGGAGCGCACCGCAACTATCACAAAAAAGGCGAACGACTAGATTCGCTAAATTTAAATGTGCTGAGAGTACGATATAATGCTGATGCTATTTCATTGGATCCCCTTTGATGACCTAGTTCAGTCCATACATAGGAATTGACTGAAGTTGGACTTATTTTTCCGTACAATTGCAAAGTGATACAAGTTTAGCTGCGTACTGAAGTAGGCTGCTTGATCTGCGATTTTTGGCAGAGCCAGGTTTTTTTGACAATCAAAGCTGAATGTAACAACCTCATTGTCAGCATGGACTTCTTTCAACAGCTCATAGAAGCACTTTGCTCGGATTTTGTGAGCTCGCTGTTGAGCCATTAATCGATTCTTTGTGTAGATATCTAATGACTTTTTTATTTGGTCTTGAAACTGCAGGCATGTTGAACACATGTCGGTTTTAGGAGCACCAAAGCCAACATTGTATTTTCTGGTGAAAAAGTATCTGAAAAATGACTCCTTAACCTGAAGATCTTTGCCCACGGTATTGTTAAACATTCTCCAAAGTTTCCTGATATTTAGTTCTGCAGGCAAATAAATTCTACTGAATGTCTTAGATCGGCAATAATGAGACTCTATGCACTTCAGTGATTCAACAAACTCTTTTATAGCCGCTCGCTTTGTGTTATTTTTACCTTTTGTCCGATCACCTCCACGTCGTTCTTTGGGCATTTCATTGCTTTCCTTGTACCGTTTTACTACATTCAAAATCCTGTCTTTCTTCACTCCCAGAATGTTCATGAAACTCTGTCTGCACACATTAACCATTAGCCCATCTCTTCTTTTCACATAGTATTTCACTGACATAGATTTCGGCTTATTTTTTCTTGTTCTCGTTTTCTTGATCTTTTGGAATCAGTAACGCTGCAGTGCTTCAATATAAAATTGTCCTGGGTGATTTTTTCTGATGTTTTGTAAAATGAGTCATAAAAAATTTTATATCTCTCATGGTCAGCAGTGATATACATTGAAAGGGCTGGTACGGCTTACCTACATGCCCACATTTTGGAAATGTTGGCAATAATTTTGCAGAATATCTAAAAAATACATACAAATAAATTACTATTGCTACCGTGTAACAAGTATCTATTAGCTTACCTGTTCCGTTTTGCATTTTCCCGCTTAGACGGCGTTTTAACTGTCTTTCGAGATCTATTACCTACCGATGGTAGTATATTATATTTTTCGCAATGCAATTCACTCATATTTCAGGCTAAAATACCATCAAACTAGATCGCACAACCTTAATCATTCAGACTCAACGCAAAATAAACAATAAACATGTGCATGCAAGTCAGGGCGACAAACCTGGATTGCAACACGTGATTGACCAAACACGAATTTCATTGGTCGACATGGACATGTCGGTATTTGAATTGAAACGACGCGTGGACATGTCGGCTTTTGCATTTCAAGGGAATTTTCTGTATTAAAAATAGCGTGTTAGAAGTCGGGTTTCGCCCTAAAAATATTGCATAGTTTGTAGCCCTTTAGATAAAGAACTCAATGGTGTATAAAACTGAAATTCCAAAATGTTGTGACTTGTCGGGTTTTGCATTTAGACGACTGATTTAAAGCATACCGTGGCAACAAGGTCAAGGTCATCATCATCTTTGTTTTATCGCTTAGTTTTTGTGAAGAAAGCAGTTTCTGTGAGTTAAGTAGTTTATTGCCTGTCAAGATGAAGGTTTGTTCTATCGCGAAACTGGCCGCCGTGTTAATATTATACTGCAATGACGGTAATGCGTGTGTGTCGCGTGTGAATAGAAGAAGGTAGAGGAACACAAAGAAGGCCAACTGGTCCACCGAGGCGTACCACAGAGCGTCAAGATAGGCGCTTCAAGCAACCAGCCGTATGAGACCGTTTTGCTTCTACGCGTCAGATCGCTGACCAGTGGTTTGGAGAAGAAAGACCTGTTACTAAGTGTACACTCTATCGCCCCATTCGAGCTTTTGGACATTTTTCATACCGTCCACGGTTAATGCTTCCTCTGACTGCGGACCACTATCGTCAACGTTTGAACTGGAACAGAGAACGGAAACATTGGGAGGCACAATGACGTAATGTCATCTTCATCGCGATTCTGTCAATGTACGCACGATGGTCGTAGAAGGGTAAGACCGCCGTGGAGAACAGCGTGATACTGGATTTGCTGTTGAGAGGCATGTACACAGGACTTGTCAATAAAATTTCGTGGGAATGTTATCTTGATTGTCAAAAAATCACGTTGAAGACTATTTTTTCTGGGTATAACGCTTCTTGTTCCTTTACAGTAAGGTACGTTTTTTCTTCATTTTTTCTGATCCGCATTTTCAATATTTGCAGTTACAAATCTTGCTGAATGGTACGCCCGTCGATGAACTGAGCAATATTGTACACATAACAAAGTCGCAGACTGTTGGCAAGCAGATGGTGCATAGATTAAAAGATATTATTCCAAGACAAATGGTACATATAGCGGTGCAAGCAGCGATTGGCGGTAAAGTCTTAGCTAGAGAGAATATAAAGGCGTTTAGAAAGGATGTGACTGCGAAACTGGTAAGTTTTCGTAATATTAGGAACATTTTATCTCATTTTTTCAACGATAAGTTTACAGCCCAAAACTTCCGAGTCCCTGTTTTATCCACATGTTTCACCAAAAAGCAGGTATCGGCATATGTTTCCTTCCAAAATACACTTTTTGAACTTCAAATTATAACTCAAGGATTTCTGATTTTTTTCTGGCATGTCTTTTATGTTTTTCCTTGTTTCTGTTGCAGTATGGAGGTGACGTCACAAGAAGAATGAAACTTTTAGCTCAACAGGCGGCTGGAAAAAAGAAAATGAGAATGGTTGCAAATATATCGTTACCAAGAGAAACCTTTATTGATGTTCTCAAGAAATAACCTGCATTTTATACGCTCATGTAAATAAACTTTTTTGTTACCAATGTGGAGTTTTTTTTCAATAAAATGTCCGCCTATTATTAAGACATTAGGAGTTTGTGTTATTGAAGGACTTTTAAATGAGACTTCAACATTTGTACCTTAAAAAACTTTATTTCCATCCACATTATCTCTGAAATATAATACAATACTGACTATATATGTGTATAGATTTTTTGGCTTCACATTTGACATGGTTCTAAGAATATATATGATGTACATACAGCACCTAAAAAACTAAAAAAAAAAAAAATATTTCGAGATTCGGGATAGTCGTTACAAAGTACCGTCTTTGAGTGGGAAGACTGGTTTTAGAATTTCGAGATCTAAAAATGGAAGTGGAACGAAGTAACGAAACCTCATAATAAAAATGATGTGTCGGAGTCGAATGATACGATTCAATTTTTTTACGTTTTTTGAAAAATTCACAGTACAGAAATGAGGTTTCATTTTACACTTGAGCGTTTGTATTTAAATATCATGGATGATACTAAGTTACTAGTATTCTAATACTTATCTATTGCAATATCAGATCCCACTGGTATCACATTGAAACTCACAATTTAATTTAACACTTAAAGCAACTACATGAAAGTTTTGAAACATACAGTGGCAAAACGTCAAAGATTTCATATCCACTACTTCAAATTCCACATGAAAGATAATGTAAAAAACAAATATGTATCGAGTTTTCCAATAAGGACATGACAACTTTGAACTTTCACTGTGAACGCACCTTTAAATCAATTACCGAACTGTCAATGTCAAAACATTCAGTAAAGAAAATATTTTCATCATGGTGACGTACACGAACGAACAACGCTTACAAATAATTAAAATTTATCACCGAAGTTCCGAGTCGGTGACTTAACCTTTAAGAGGGTTAATGCCAATGTCAATTCATCAAAATTTGAGTCCACATATTCGCTGCTGAATGTTCCCGTGCCAATGAGACAACAGGATGGTCGAAGTGCCGAGAATATTGCTGCCGTTCAAGCTTCCATCGCAAACGAACACGTCGATTCCACGACGTTCTCAAAAATTGGCCATCGCTCAGACCACACTATAGCGAATTTTGCGAAGAGACCTTGGCCTGCACCCTTATAAGATCAAGTTAACTCAAGAACTAAAGCCGTTCGATCATATGAACCGACGTACTTTCTCGAAAATGACAAATTTCATCGCAAAATCATCTTCAGTTATGAGGCGCATTTTTGGCTAAACGGCTTCGTCAACAAACAGAATATACGTTATTGGTCAGGTGAAGACCCTCATGTGCTTCAAGAAACAACAATTTGTTTTCTTCATTGATAAAAATGATCGTCACGTTACAGTCAACGCAGATCGCTACAGAGACATGTTGTTTTTTGAGTCAACAAGATGGGCTAGACATTAATGACATGTGGTTTCAACAAGATGGTACCACAAGCCACACAGCGGGTGAAACAATCGTCAAATTGAAATCAAAATTCGGTGAACGAGAAATGGTCAGGTCGAATGGCCGCCTAGATCGTTTGATTTAACACCTCTAGACGGCGTCGTTAAAGGAGCTCACAGCCAATATTCAACGAGAGATAGCGGTCGTTTCTGTCGAAATGTGTGGCCGAGTCATTGAAAATTGAGTGCAACGAATCGATGGCTGCGAACGTGCCCGTGGTCAACATATGAACGAGGTCGAATTCCATACATAAATGTTTTGAGTATACTTCAATCTGATAGTAAAATTTTCGAGATAACTCAAATGGTTTGCGTTCTATTTAAAAAGAAAGTTGTCAAGTCCTTTATGGGAGACCCATACACTGAAATACATCTGAAAAGATTGATTGAGCAAAAAAAATCGACTTAAATACAGAACTTTTCAAAAAAATATGTATGCACAATGTGAAAAAATACAAAAACATGTTGAAGATGGCAAGAAAATTATGGTATTATAAGTATTTTCCTCAAAATTTTAGTTTCTGTAAATGATCACAGGAAATGAACAGTGGGAGTAAAAATATTAATACTGGCTTTTTGAAAATAATAATCACCAACACTGAAAAAGTCATTTTTTTGATACATTGCGATTTCTTATTAGCTCCTGATACGAGACTGTTTGGCACATTTCCTGGTTTCCAAACTAAAGACTATTAGGAGTAATTTCTTTTTTGGAATATTATCTTTTGATTTTTTCAGCATTGTTTAATTGGCAGTTCACACAGTTTGGTTGTAATTACAAATCCTCAAAGGGCCAGGTAACATTATTATAGTGTAACTGACTTATATCCAAGCTATAAGACAATTTTCACTATGATGATCTTATTGCTAACAGTAAAAAGTATTACAGTCAAACTAAATTGCTAAACATTACAAAAAATCTAATCACAAGCGGTCCCAATATTTACGGAAAAAATATATCATAATCGCATCTTTGCGACGATATTGGCACATACACAGATAAAATCATCTCTACAAATATGAGACTAAACATCTACCTAATATTCTTTGGCAAGACAATTTCAGTAATATAGCTAAGTATATTTTCCAAAACGGAAGAATTTCTTAGCAAATGCAAAGCATTTTCATAACGTGATTTTTTAGAAGCAAGACTACAAACAGTGTAAGTTTACACGCAGCCGGTTGTCATGATAAGCAAATGGTATATTGTATACATATATACGTGTATATATAAAAAATAGCCAAGTGGAGAACTCGACTTTGGGGAAATCGACAAATTATGCAAAGTGTATTCTTTTAACTGACAACTCAAGCTTCTGCCAGTCTATGCTGAGTTGTAAGCATAATTTGTCTATTTCCCCAGAGACGAGATCGTCCACTTAGCTAGTTATTTGCGACGATAACTATGAATCATAATATAATAAAATATATAATTTTAAAATAACAAAAACCTACTATAGCACTGCGAAAAAATATTATCTACTCTTTTAATGAATATCATGCATTTTCTCCGGCTCACTTACTTTACAGCAATGCCAGAAACTTAAAGTAAAAATAGCCTTTAATATAGTTTTACGCTTGCTGTGATCGAACATATCACATATCTACAATCTATCAACGAACTACCAGGCACAACCCAAAAATCTAAAAACACAATTATTTGTTACATCATGTCGGGATCCAGAACTGACATGATTATGATTAACAAAGAAACACCTAATTCAATGACGTCTTACCCAAATAGACCTCGATTGTTTACAAAAGTTCTTCCCCTACAATAATCACTCTTTTTTGCGATGTCGCCAAATAAAGTTGGCCCCACGGTCGGTTGACATTGGCCCCATCGTATAAACAACTAGCCAAATGACCTCTGTTTGTTGCAGAAAGATATTGTATATTCTTATACTACAATAATTTATATAACAAGTGACGAATACGCGAATTTAAATACAAATCGAGGTATAAAACAAACCTGAGTATTTTCCGCATATTTGTGAATAACGTTTATTTTGCATCGATTGATCTCCATATAAAATATTTTGTAAACCATCAAATAAACATTTTTTTAAGTAGGTATTTACTGTGTTTTATTACTTCTATATTGGGGTCTTGTACCTACCACAAAAGGCACACATTTTGCTATTTTTCTGTACATCATAAAATGAAAGCACAATGTGTAAACACACTTCATTTTTTGCTTTGATGGCCGATGATTAGAACTATGAAGAGCGGGGGGGGATGGAGGTTGCATGCTTTTTGTTGGAGACACCACGACCTAAAAGAGGGACAGAGTCCGAAAGTGGGACGTATGGTCACCTTAACCCTATATCTGGTGCTGTAACCTGTAGGCAACATCATCTTTAAACCTCAATTTCTCGTCCTCCCTGCTCTAACGGTCTGATTGGTCAGTGTTGCGCGTAAGCTACATTATTCAGTAACGGAAATAATATTATGAGCGACCTCTGTTTATAAAAAGTTGAGTCAAAATTTTCAATATGGTTGCCGCGTAACAGGTGTTTAGTGCACGTATGAATCTGTAGTTGGGATTTTAGTTGCGAATCATTTGTTTTTATGTTCTATTAGCCTTGGTTGGTATAAAAGAAGGTTGAGTCTTTATGTTTATGATTATTTTTAAGCGATGGATCAGAAAATAAGGCAGGAAAATGACTCTCAAGCAACATTGCCAGAATAATTACGTTTTCCGATCTGGATAATTTTCCAACCATAAGCACTACATGTTTTTTCGACAAAAAGAAGGCACCGACCGTAATTCCCACAGATCAGCATATTTCCGATGTCTCAGACGACGATTTCAGTGACGGAGAAAATATTTCCCAAACAAATGAGCTTAACGATGAAGAAGAGGTGACTTCAGGACTTGACATGCTGGTTCCAGAAAATAATTCTGAATTAGAAGAAAGTTACGATGAAACTGAGCCGCCACCACCACAAAGACGAAAAACTGAATCATATTCTTGGATTGAAGCTGCTAACATACCTTCACCAGATTTTCCTGAACCTGACAACATTGCAGTTCCCATTGAGTATTTTACAAAGTTTTTTTCATTTGATCTAATGGAGAAAATAGTCTATCAGACAAATCTTTATAGTACTCAGCAACTTGGGCAATGTATTGATACAAATCCGTCAGAAATAACGGATTTTCTATCTATACTCTTGATTATGGGTGTAATAAAACTTCCTGCCATAGAAGATTTTTGGGCAGCTAGTACAAGAGTAGATCACGTGGACAATATAATGCCTCTGAAGAGGTTTCAGAAACTAAGACGGTTTATCCATTTCAATGATAATACTAACATAACAGACCAGACAAAGAATCGATATTTCAAAATTAGACCCTTATTAGAAGTTGTACGTAAGAACTGTTATAAACTCCAGTTTGAAAATCAATACTCAATTTATGAAACAATGGTGTCTTACAAAGGCACATATGCGGGCAACTTGAGGCAGTATATCCAAAATAAACCCCACAAATGGGGGTTTACATTTTTTATTCGTGCTGGGGTTTCTGGTTATATTGCCGACTTCATACCCTATATGTCAGTGATCAACGCTGGCTTCTGTATAGAAAGGACTGCAACACAGCACGTGTAACGTCAAAACCGCTAAAGGAGTTCTGTATAGAATTAGCCAAACCGTTGACCAACGCAGGAAAACAAAGTTCTCATGGCAGACCATCCATTTCCTCGACTAATAAAACCCCTGCGAAAATAATATCAAACCCTATACTGCCGAGACCTGATATCACCACCCAAAAACATGTCATAGGTCATTGGCCAACTTATGGTACAAAAGGTAGATGCAGGCACTGTTTACAACAATCTTTTGTACCAAGTGCAATCTTAGGCTTTGTTTCACCAAAAATAAGAATTGTTTCTACCTTTTCCATTCCAATTAGATTTAGCTTTTTCATCACATTGTATTTTGTGAAACCAGAAATATATATATTTTGTTTATTTCTTGATATTCGTTTTATAAATAAATGATTTGAAATCTATGTGTTTCCATATAAACCAGTGCAATTAGGTTTACCTTTATCGGTCAATGTTGCTTGCAAGTAACAATAGAACCTATACTTTATCTCACAATGTTGCTTGCAAGCAACTAATTCTAAAGTCATTTTCCCAGGTTATTTTTCAACTTTTATAATACCTTATGTCATCTATAAGTCATAACTGATAACCTATGTCAATATTAGATTTTTTCAGTAAGGTGTGGCGCAAAGGCAGATACAGGGTTAATAATAGTATACCTACAAGAAAGACGTTTTTTGTACCACCATACTGAGAAATTTATTGGCTTTTATAGCCCTTCATGGCCTACATTGTGATACGCCTATGATGCGAATTCCGTAGTTAACCTTGAGCCTTGTGCTGTTGCAAGCCTGGGGCCAATTTCATAAAATTATGATGGAAAGTTCGTATTTCCTGCCAATGAGCTTCGCGAACATAACAAACGGCGGACTTATGAATGACTTGCAGGGTCTATATAGGTAAGACGTCATTGACCTAATTGCATTGCTACATTTTCATTGGTAGGGTAAAAAATAGATTCACACTTCTGAAAAAAAAATATCCTGTCAATGTTTCTCTAGCATGGATACTTGTTCTTTCTGGTCGATAATCATAACCGCATAAAGAGCTTTATTGGCGTTTCGGTTGTCATGGAGCCTATAGATATACTTGACGTTTACTCGACCAATAAAACCGCAGCATCTAAAGTTCTACATCGTTCTCTTATATTAGGAAAGGAACTTAATTGGTCAATGGAAACAGGTGCTCCCTAATAGCGTAATAATGGTGGTAAGCCGCCATAACAACAAACAAATGCCAAATGGCGTGAGCGAAGGGCAGTCGACCATCACATTTGAAGAAAAATATGCCTGACATGTACAAAATGCCACCTAACGTTATGTCGCGCAGTCCTCGCAATTCGTGCTGAAACAAAAACGTTATCGTCAGTTTATTTTCCTCAATTCCAGATGAAAATACGGTTTGCGCAGTTTGAATCACGGGAACGGGGTTTTTTGCAGAATGAAGTTGAGAAAAAATTTTGAAGAGTTATGGTAGGCTAAGAAACGGTTAGTTTTTGGATACAATTTTTTTTTGTGGTATCGTCAGATTATTGCTTCCGAATGATAAATTCAAATTGGCATTATGATTATCCGCCATTTTGAGATACACATTTGATCGTACATGTTCGATCGATCCATATGTAAAAAAGTAAGAGGTACGATTTTGTAGCGAATTAAATTCTTCATCTTTTTGCCCTGTATAGTCAACAATCTATTACGTTTTTTCTACATCTTGATGCTTCTTGAAAAGGGAAAGTTGAAAATTCTTATCAAAACAGTCATGCATACATTCTCACTTTTTTTTTATTATTTTAAGAAACTTTGTCAATCCGATTTATGAACTGCTTAAGGTTAATAAAACTGGGAAAATCCTCCTCGGAAAGATTGTTCCACAATGTCGATACCCTAGGGACAGAGGAGCGGTCGTATTGGCCAGTTCTGGATGTACGAAGTTTGACACGGTTAGGATGGCAGAATTATAGATCGTAATTTTGTTATGGTGCGATAGCTTTGAGGGTCCTACTGGGAATAATACTGCTTGTAGCGGAGGTTCAATCCTTCCTTCGTTTTTTTGATATGGTGCTTCCACTTGGTATTGGTCCAAGGCTCCAATAGTATGATGCCATCAACGCCTATTTGAGCATCACTCAGTGTCATCGCATGTCATAGAAAAACTTTGTCTATTCAAATTGTTAAGTCACCTACCTAGTTGTGATAAATATTGAACAATGACTTACTCAATTCAAGAAAGGGTAGAAATAACAAAACGGTATTACCAAAATGGAAGCATTGCAAGAGCTACTACCCGGTTGTTTAATGCGTTACAGCCAGACAAAAATATTTACGATAACTAAATATGTGGCTAGTTTGATAAGAAAATTTAAAGAAAGTGGATCTGTGTCTAATATTCGAACAGTTAGAAATGAAACCGCAAAAATAGCAGTTTTGGGACAAGTGGCACTTGACAACACCCAAAGCACTCGTGGACTGGCTATTTTTTCAGGATTTACACGCTCAAAATTTCAAAGAAGTTTGAAAGAATAAATTTTACCGGTACAAGACAAAACTTGTCCATGATCTTAATGAAGACGGTTTTGATAGAAGGTTGGAGGTTTGCGAATTAATGTACCAACGTTTAATCAACATTCCAAATCTGTTATTTAATATTTGTTTCTATTCATATTGGTGCTGAGAGTAGACATAAATGTCGATATTGGAGTGACTCATTACTACCATGTGTAAGTATGGAAAGTGTAATATTTATTTGGTAATTTGTCACGTTTTCGTTGTTAACTTCGCTCACTTGATCGGTCTGTTTATTGGCGATTTTTTCACTGCGGAATTTCAGTAGCTGTTGCTCGTTTATGATATTCCTTTGAAATCCTGCAGTAAATGGCCAATACACTGACGGAAGTAAGTGGCTAGCATTTTTCTGATAAAAACGTCACAAATTATCCGGAAATATTACATTCTCCATACTTACGGCAGTAAAAAATGCGTCCACTTTAAAACGATATTCTTGATCATGAATAATAATTATTATGGACTATGAAACTTGCAACTCCTGATACTTGGAGAACCATCAACGTGCAAAAAGAACGTAATGTGCCGTTTTTGTAGACAATTTTATTCTCTACAAAAAAGGAATAATCTTTATACGTCATTATAAGCGAAAATATCATTACATGTACCTTTACCCTTAAATTTCCCGAAACCTGATGAGTATATGGCAAATTTTCATAGAAGCAAAACGATAAAGAATTTAATTTCCTACAAAATTGTATCTATTACTTTTTTACATAGGATGGATGGTTTCCGAGATTTTCGATCAAACGCATCTATCAAATAGGAGGCAAATGATCCATGTCTTATGACGCCAATTTGAATTTATCATTAGGAAACAATAGCCAGCGACACCACCAAAAAAAGATTACTGTCGCAAAAATTGTAGGTAATTATTACCTATTTCCTGGCGTATGACACGGAATCTGCATCAAATTGATGTCAGATTTAGAATCTGCGCAACAGATTCACTCAGAGAACGAATTCTTGTACAGATCATAGATATGCAACGGTTTTTCATTTTTATTCGCGGAAAACCTTAAATAGTGCGTTACATACCTAGGTAGAAAAGTATGCCATTAGTGGAATCCTTTTATATCTCGAGGCGCATAACATTTCATAAGAAATTTCATATCGTGATATCTCTACGATTGCCTCAACTTACCTCAAAAATGATTATCGCGCTGGGTCCACATCCCATGATGAGGTACGCCAGGGTCTCCAGCATTTTGTACTTTTCATGGAAGAGCTGTTGGTAGATGATACCGAGGAAGGCTAACAACCATACGCCCCATCGCATATGGGCTGCCCAACCATCGTGAGGAAGTGGTTCCAGTGTCAACCATGGAAAATAAGTACCGGCTATGAACATGTAGATCATCGCGCGGTCGCATCGGTGTAAGAGGTCCTTTAGTTGCCTGGGGTAAAGTATAGCATGTTTACAAGTCATCTATTGTACAGGGTGCGCCATCTTTTATGTCGGTATTGAAACATAATAATAATAATAATAATAAAATGTCTTTATAGGCACATTATATACACTAAAACATAATGTGACCTCTACGTAGGCGAAGTCTAGCTCTTGGCTACTCTACTTAACCTACCCAAATACTAAATTGAAACACTCAATCAAAGGAAACTTTGACAAGCAAAAGACGCTTCAAAACAACGAGCTTGATAGCTTCCTAGCATACATATATACACACATATATTACGTAAAATAAAATAAAATGTAAGAATTAAAAACTAACTTTTCCACAATTACTACAATGACAAATAAATCAGTTTCACATGCTTACGAAATCTGTTTACTGGCCAATCCTTTATATTGTCACCTAATTCGTTATACATCAGGATAGCATTGTAAGTGTATGAACTACGAAATAAAGTTGTTTTATACATAGGGATCTCTAGTCTTTTTTTGTGTCTGAATACAATATAGTGTTACGTTTGACAGCAGGACAAAAAAGCATCACTGAGCACTTATCCTTATTGAGCTTAAGATTGTTACCATTTGAGTATCCTACTATTGCCTCCAAATCATCATTAAGCTCATTGATTGAAGTATGCAAAGTGTTACTATTAAAGCTCTTATATATCTGTGTATCATCGGCATAGCACATCACAGAAGAGTTTTTCACAGAGCTACCCAAGTCTATAGTATAAATTAAGTACAACAAGGGCCCTAAAACTGAACCCTGAGGGACACCTGATGTTATATCAATCGGACTAGATATAGTGTTGTCTATCTCTACTACTTGTTTATGATTTGAAAGATATGTTATAAAAAACATTAGAGGTATGTCTGAAAAACCAAAAAACTTCAATTTAGCACATAAAAGCTCATGATCTATTTTATCGAACGCCTTAGAATAATCGAATGATACAAGTGCTGAAGCATCTCCCTTATCAAGCGAAGCAATGATGTCATCTAAAACCCTTGCTAAAGCTGTAGTTGTACTAAAACCACTGCGGAAACCAGATTGACACTTGGGAAAGAAATCATTATTAGAGAAATAATGATAAACCTGATGTTTAATCAATTTCTCCAATATCTTCGATATAACAGGAATCAAAGTTTTAGGTCTTAAGTCTGAGAGACATTTTGGATTTTTACATTTAGGCAAGGGCTTGACAAGAGATAGTTTCCAAGCATCAGGGAAATACCCAGCCTCCAGGCAACAGTTCAATAAATGCGTCAGGGGTAGTAATACTCGAGGCAAGCAAAGCTTCAGCATTGAGACTGTTATACCATCCGAACCTGCTGCATTAGATTTTAGGGACAGAATAATGTCTAGCACATTTTGTGGGGTAGCAAAACTAAATTCAAATCTAGCACTTTCATTAATTTTGGTACTATTAAATTTATCAACTAGATCCTTGCAATTGCCCGAAGGCGTGAAAACGGAAGAAAAATAATTGTTTACTTCATCGGCATTCTTCAGCTGTGTAGGTAAAGATCTATCTACATTAGTTTTGAGTTTCAATGAATGTACATCTTTCCAGAGATGCTTGTTACTATTTAGTTGTTCATTGAAGCTTAGATATGCTGCTTTCTCCCGCCTAATAGCGGAAATGACATCATTTCTTAATTTCTGCTAATATTCGAGACTAGCTGGACTTTTTAAAATCTGATATTTTCTAAAGGCTTTATTTCTCTCGGAGATCAAAAATCTTATGCCACCTGTGAGCCATGGAGCATAAGGTTTAGTAATACGTGATGAAACAACAGGAGCATGGACATCAAACAAATCCAAAATATGATTAGAAAAAAACGTAGCTTTATCCTCTAAGTTACTGATGTAATATATATCGTCCCATGGGATTTTATACAAATCCACCAAAAACTGATCTTTACAACAGTGTTTAAAGTCTCTATATTTGACAGTCTTTTGAAAATTCTTAGGCCGTGTGATGTTGAAGTCACATCTGACTACATTATGATCTGACAAATTCGGAACAGGTACAGAGCTAGTTGAAATTAATGATTCAGCTAAGTTATTTGTTGTACAAATGACATCTATGGAGGTTGCCGTGGTTAAAGTTATCCTAGTTGGTTGGGTGATGTGAGATACCATATCATAGCACGCAATGCAATCTAGAAAAGAATGGTCAGTAAGTTGATCAACGTTTATATCACCCAGCAAGCATATATTATCATACTGAGGAGACACAAATGAGAGAAAGTCGAATGACTTTGATATTTACCAACCGAGTGATTTGGTTATACGTGTTTCTGAAACGTCAATTTACCACAATTTAATCATGAATCGCTTTACGTCAAAACAACGCGAGGAAATAGTCACAATGTACATTGAAAATCGAAAAACTGAACAGTTGTGTTAACGCAACGTGCATATCGTCGAAAATATCGTGGCAAATAGGCACCGACTAAGACAACACTATCCGTCATTTGGTTTCGAATTTTCTTGAGTACGGGACAGTGGGAGATCTTCAACATACCGTTCATTAACGACCAAAACGTTCCAATGAATTTGTTGAAGCGGTCAGAGGCAACGTTGCCCAGAACCCAAAAGTGTCGTATCGTCACCGCGCTCAGCATTTTGGCATCAGTGGAACCACGTTGCGGCGCATTTTGAAGGATGATTTGCATTTGTTTCTTTATAAGATGCAGTTAACACAAAAAATATTGCCAACTGACCGTACACGACGCTTGGAATACGCCCAAACAATCGCTCGTATGGTTGATGCTGAGCCTGATTTTTGGAAGCAAATTGTGATGACCGACGAGGCCCATTTCACGCTCTCTTTCGGCGTTAATAAGCAACACTGCCGCATGAGATCCACGAAATGCCGTTGCATGACCGGAAAGTGACTGTTTGGGCCGGCGTTTGCGCCAAAACCATCATTGGGCCATTTTTCTTCGAAGAAAACGAAACAGTCGACGGAAATCGATATCGGTGGATGTTGGCTGATTATTTCTGCCCACAAATGCGTAACAAAGGTCTGATGTCAAAAAGAGGTGATATTGACTGACCACCCAGGTCTCCAGATTTGACCCCACCGGACTTCTTCTTGTGCTCGAAAAAGTTATGGAAAACGCCGCAAAACGGGCACATTTTGTTTTGGCCAATAAAGGTGGCCACTTGAAAGATGTTGTGTTCAAAAACTAGTCCCAATAAATTTTAAACGACCATATTTAATAAAACATCCCGATATATAGGAATCAGTTGTTCGTTTTCAAAGTTATTTCATTTTTACATACCGACATAAAAGATGGCCCACCCGGTATAGTAAGTAGAACATTTATTTTAGGTTTCAACAGAAAGATTTTAAAATGGCAGAGGCGTTAATCAACGAAGATTTAACAAGGCTAGTAGGCATCTCGTGCTCGCATTAAAATTGAAAATGATTCCATTTAAATCTTCAGGTACGGTTTTCGCCTCAATAAACAAAAGAACATCGATCGAATTGGAAATTAACCTTAAAATAACCAGTTTCCTAGAATAGGTGAGTGTAAAAGCTTGGGGCTTTGAATTGACACGGAACAAAAATATAAAAGGCATGTAAATTCATTGTGTACATATTTTAAAGAAATTTTATCCGCATATGCAAATGTCTAACTAAAACTAAAACTGTGTGAAACATTAATTATGTCAAAAATCAGATATTGTGACACTATATATATGCCCCCTCTATCATATTGTGCGTATTTAGAATTCCGTGAGAGATTTTCTTGTGGAATACAAAAGTTTAACCACATTTCTGATAAATTTAAGGAGCTTGGTATTCTACAAATTAGATGCAGGTAAAAACTTATTTATTGTCACTCATACATAAGGTGGTAGCCACCAAATAAAGACGATATTTGCATAAAAAGTTAGCACGATCTAGCGGCATAAATCAACTATACTAAGTGACATATAAATCCGAACACCCAGTTTAAATGGTTTTATTTTAATAAAATTTTGTATAAGTACTTAATGAAGCATAATAAGTAAATGATAAAAATTTCAAAATGATTGCACTGCTTTAAAGCCCTTTGACCTTTAATAATGTGTGGATGCACCCTGATGTGCTACGCATTCACCAACGTGCCTAGGCATGCTTCTGATCAGGTGGTCAATGTCCTCCTGTGGTATCTCATTCCAGGCAACCACCAACTCCTCTCGAAGTGCTTCTAGAGTCTGAGGAGGTCGTTGCAAATTGAGCAATCTCCTACCCATCATATCCCACACGTGCTCAATTGGGGATAAGTCGGGAGATCTTGGTGGCCATGGTAACAATGTGACATCATTATGTTGAAAGAAGTCTATTGTGACTCTTGCAACATGTGGTCGGGCATTATCTTGTTGGAAAGTTGGATCTGCCAGGGTGTCAAGAGAGGGTAAAAGATGGGGTTCTAGAACTTCGTGGATATAACGCTGCGCGTTCATGTTACCTCTGATGAAGATTAAAGGTGACCTGGAACCATAAGCTATAGCACCCCAAACCATAACTCCAGTGTGATGAACATGTCTTTCAACAAAAAACTGTGGATTCCTCCTTTCACCACGTCACTAAAGACAATACTGTTCCATTCCTGAACCCACTCAAGGCGATTACGTCGGTGTCCTCGAGTTAAAGGGAGGACCCAGTGTGGCCGGTATGAAAACAAGCCAAAACTTCTCATTCGTCGGTAAACACTTCGCATGCCAATAGGTCTTCCGTGTTCTGCAAACCATTCATTTGCAATGGACCTGGTAGTGGAGAAACGGTCCCTTAAGGCCAATAATCTTAGGCGGCGATCTTCACGGTCTGTTGTTCTACGGCGGCGTCCAGTGCCACTTGCTCTTTGCGTACGGCCTTCTCGAAGCCATGCCTGACAACACCTAACCACAGTGTCTACACTTCTTTGCCCTCTAACTGCAATTGCCCGAAAAGAAAGTCCAGCTTCCCGAAGTCCCACTATACGGCCCCTATCAAACTCACTAAGTTGACGAAATCGTACAGGTCTCCGTACTGTAGGCATCGTAACCGATCGTAAAGGATGTCAAGAACCAAAATCCGCCAATGTTGATTATTTACTACGGCTGAAATATTCATTTTTAGGGCGTTAGTGAATTAAAAAAAAGCAGTATAAAAACCGGAATGTCCAACTGATAAGGCTGAACATTTTTTCACTTGTTATTTACAGTAAGATAAATACATTCACCAACTTTTATTAAAATAAAACCATTTAAACTGGGTGTTCGGATTTATATGTCACTTAGTATAGTTACCACGTGTAAAATTTCGCCGAAATTCAATTTATACAGGGGTTACGGATTATCGGACAGACCGACGGAAATGGTTTTCGCGTGGGAAGTAAAAAAAAGTACACCGGGGTAATTTCGGACGCTGATTTCGAATATGTCCATACAAAATTTGGAGGATGAAAATACGACTTTTAGGGGCTCCAGTGGATCTCCGTGCAAAATATGCAACAGATTCATGATCTGCCCACTCGATTTCCACAAGAAACAGATTAAGGTCGAAATTGCAAATTTTCAAAAAAAAATGAAATATCTCCAATTTTTCTTTAAGCTTTTTCGTTGCAAAATTTCTAATGTTGGGGCAATTTTCAAAAAAACAAAAATATCTTTGGGTCTATTTTCGTTGAATAAAGGTCGCAATCTCGCCGTCAATAACATCCTCAAAACCATTTATAATCTACCAAGAGAAGTGGGATAAATGATTACAGCAATTTGTGTCCCATATATTTTTAACAACCAATTGTATTCACTGACCCAGCACATTTATATAGCAACTAGAAAAAAACAATCAGTAGCGCTGTTATCACATAACCCATTGTTAAAAAATTCCATAACACCAGCTTACTACAATGTGCATAATTTGATGTCCGATTGATTATTACGTAAATATGATCGGTTAATCTCGTCGGCCTTGATATGATTACAAATGTTTTATACAGGGTGGCGCATCGAAAACGAAACAGACGCATTTAAAAAGGCTCAGACCCGTCGATTTTGTTTTGGAGGGGGACACAAGTTTGGCAAAAAAATCACGTTGGCACGTGCAGCCCCCTAAGCGGGGGTGACACCACCCCCAAAATCTGGAAAGGGGGGTCGAGTGATACCTTATTTTAAAGGTCTTTAAATTCCCTTTATAATGATATAAAATTAATGTACTTCAGTTCAGTAGTTTTGAAGATTTATTGATTTAAAGCTTAAATGAAACTAATACATCATCATTAGTGGAGATCAATACATTTGGCAGCAAAGTAATTTAAAAATGAAGAATGGACTGACCCGTTAGGCAAGTAAATGTTGAAAATGGCCACCATGACTATCTACGCAATAATAAAAAAGATTTTGCTCAAAATTATTTATTATTAATATTTGAGGAGTAATTTGAAGGCACTCATTCACAATTCTTTGTCGCAGGTCTTCTAATGATGTTGGCTAAGTAGCATAGATTTTGCTTTTTAAATGACCCCACATAAAGAAATCCAAAGGTGATAAATCTGGCGATCTTGGGGGCCATTCAATGGCACCTCTTCTACCAATCCATCGACCTGATCTAAATATTGTCGAACACGTAATGCGTAATGTGATGGGGCACCGTCCTGTTGGAACATCAACCTATTCGCAATGTACCGCCGATCATTCTGATTTTATGGCTGTTAATGCAGGATCTATGACGTCTTCCAGTAATTCCAAATACATTTCACCAGTCAAATTTCCAGGTAAGAAAAAAGGACCAACTAAATGATCGCCAAAAAATACCAGCCCAAACATTTAATTTTTGAGGCTGCTGTGTATGAACCTCATGATAAATTCTGGGATTAGAATCGGACCAATATCGGCAGTTATGTCTATTTACTACGTCATTTAAGAAAAAGGAACATTCGTCGGAAAAGCAAGTGTTGAATAGAAAATGTTCATCGTTTATCATTCGTTCACTCATATCTTCACAAAATTGTAATCACCGATCAAAATCGTCTTCATTAAGTTCTCGTACCAGGTGAATTTTATACGGATGAAAACTATGGGCCTTTAGAATCCGTTGGACAGTACGTCGACTAACACCACACACAGTCTCCAATTTGCGGGTATTTAACGTAGGATCTACATAAACTTGCCCGAAAAACCCCACTTCTATTGCTTCGTTCCTTATGGGATTTTCAAGGTTGCGTTTTTTATTGGCGACTGACCCAGTTTCCCGAAATTTAGCTACAAGTTCTAGAACATATCTTCGATGCACGTTACTGTTCTCATGTCGCTCATTAAATACTTCTGCTCTTCTATTAGCGCACTGATTATTTCCGAAAATTTTTTCGATAATTTCAATCATTCCTGCTGTGGAATATACCATGGTTAATTTATGTAATAAAGCGTTACAAGTTATTTTAGCAACAAAGAGTGGTCAAATCAATCGCAAACTATGCACTAAATCCGATTTAAAATAAGTGCGAGATATTTCCTTATTTTCTTCAAGAAATAACTTTTATGCCACAAAAAAACACTCCAATCGCTATTTTCAACAAACCATGGGCGTAGTGAAGAAAAGCATTTACTTATTAAGTAAATTCTTTTAGTCAAATTTCTTCTGAAATTAGTACAAACTAATCTGATGTACCTATTAAAGTCTACTTTAAGCTTTAAATCAATAAATCTTCAAAACTACTGAACTGAAGTACATTAATTTTATATCATTATAAAGGGAATTGAAAGACCTTTAAAATAAGGTATCACTCGACCCCCCTTTCCATTCAAGATTTTAGGGTTGGTGTCACCCCCGCCCAGGGGGCTGCACGTGTTAACGTGATTTTTTGCCAAACTTGTGTCCCCCTCGAAAACAAAATCTTCAACAAAAAACTGAGCTGCCAGTAAATGCGTCCGTTTCGTTTTCGATGTTCTACCCTATATTATGATATACAATCCCGGGAATACGTTCATCGAAACTATGAATATTGAGAATTTTATTTCCTATCCACTTATTCATAATAACGATGTGTTTTGGTTTATTCAACTGAATGATAGGTTATCAAAAACATGTGTATGATAGGTCGAGGTTATTTATAATCAAGTAGACACAAAAGCTGAATCTTCGATCATACTGAAGCTGTCGCGAACGCGGAACCTAAACGCTGAGGTACAGCGAGTTCATTAACAATTGCCTCTGAGAGGCGATTTATCTTAAATTGCAAAAGGCGAATCCAAAATGTCAGTATAGCAGAAAATAGTTTCCTTTTTTCTTCTGTAGATGGTCGCGTTACACAGATCCGCAAAGTTTCAAAATACTTACTTGTGCTTGTTACAATAGAACACGCAATGGAAAGACGTGGAGACGCAAAAAAGGAATATCAACGTCCCGCCATAAATGATGGCTGACAGGTACTGGTCAGCATGTTGGCACCTGCTAATCAAGTCCAAAGTAGCGAAGATGCTTGGAATGATCCAGATCCCGTGCGTGAGAATATTTGCGATGTGTTCTACTGTGGTAGGACAATAGGCTTCTTGCGGCAACGCCCTGCGGTTTTTCCATTGCACGCTGAAAGACAATCCGTTGTTTAAACTGAATCCAAATTCAAGATGAGATGTAAATAATAACAGTTAGCGCGTGATCTCTCGGTAACAGGTGGTCAATTCGCCATTAAATTTCAAGCGGTCGCCTGGCGGAATAATGCGCGGGGCAGGGGCAGGGCAGGCAGAGTTGCATTCAGGCCACCGACCGTCGCGTGTATCACTGCGTGCTCGTGTTTTCGTATTTACCTTGCTTGGTTGTTGCTGTTAATGTTGTTAAGTGTATTTGAGAAATTTGTTAAGTTTCTGTTTGTTATTGTTATTCCTCGTTATTATTTGTTTTGAACCAATCCTGAACATGTCCAGTACAGATACTGCTGACGAGGCTGTAGGCTACTCCCTTAGCTCTCCTAGAAAGCGATAAAAAAAGACATCTTAGCGTAGACATGAAAGATGTCATATTGAATACATTCAAGATAGAGCGGAAGGAAGACGAAACATCAACTAACCCGAAAATAGCTCTGAAAGTGGCAGATAAAATTGGGGTATGCCAAGCGACAGTGTACAGTGTTTTGAACGAACATAAGAAAAACATGCCTTTTCCAAGCCAATGACGGGTAAAAATCGCAAAACTATCATAAGATTGTTGGATGACGCTGATAAGCATGCGATTCGGAGGAAAGTGCACGAGTTCTTCTCTGAAATACCGACAGTTGATAAAGTACTACAGGAGGTTAACGAGGATGCTATGTTACCAAATTTCAAACGTTCGACTATTCATAAACTTTTGAAGCATCTTAATTTCGAATGGAAGAAACGAGGTCGTAACAGCTTACTTATGGATAGAGAAGAAATTGTTCTGTGGAGGAGAGAGTACCTGACCAAAATTAAATCATTCAGGGATCAGCACAGGACGATCTATTACCTGGACGAAACCTGGATTAACGCCGGGGACACTACTCCGAAGGTATGGGTTGACAAAACTGTATCTTCATCCAGAAGGGCATTTCTAGATGGACTGTCGACCGGATTGAAAAATCCAGCAGGTAAATAGATCGAAGTAGTTCACGGTATCAATTTTTGCGCACAATTCTTCGTACCTACAAGACGTGCATGTGTACTTAGCGGATTTTATCTTTCTAGGCAAAGGAAAAAGGCCCATTATTTGCCACATTGGGGGTGTAGATTGCTTCGTGGATGACGGCTTATGGTCTTTTGAGTCAAAAAAAAAAACACTGACTACCATGAAGAGATGAATGGGGAAGCATTCGAGAAGTGGTTTTCAGGCGTTTTACCACGTCTCGAAGACAATTCTGTGGTTGTTTTGGATAATGCTCCCTATCATTCTCGCAAAATAGAAAAAATCCCAAGTTCAGCTTCTATTAAATCAGACATTCAGAGCTGGCTCCGTTCCAAAAATATAACTTTCGACCCTTCCTTACTGAAATTACAACTATTAGATATTGTGAAACAACACAGACCAAGACATGATGAATATGTCATAGATGAAATGGCCAAAGCACACCACAAAACAGTACTCCGTTTGCCGCCTTACCACTGTGAGCTCAACCCCATTGAGCTCATATGGGCATTTGTTAAGAATTTTGTTGCTGCACACAATACAACATTTAAAATTTCTGACATGCCAGAGCTGTTCAGAATTGCTAAACAGAGGGTCACACCAGAAAGATGGCAAAAATGTGTGCAGCATGTTCAGGAGAAAGTGGAGGTAGCAATGTGGGAGCTGGACAACATAATTGAGAGAGATTTTGAATCCATCATCATAAACATTAATGACGATAGCTCTTTAAGTGAGTCTGAGTAAGTTTCGCGTTTTTGTTTTGTCACCGAATACATATTATGGGAATCCTAGTTATAGTGAAATATTAACTTACAGATAAACTACAGACGATGCAAGTCCGATGTGCACCTTCAAAATCTATTTTCAATGGATTGAACAGCCTTATATTTATTCCATGTACAAAAGTGTCATCTCTACCCCTCGTTGACTACGGATTCATAGTGCATAGTGAGCAGCTGGTTACCTTTGGTATGTATTTCTCCATGTTGTCTAGTTTCAAAAATCTGTAGAAAAACTTAGCACCCCTTCAAGAATAAAAATTTTATTTTGCGATACCCTTAACTATAACTACTTCACTATATTAGATAATTTCATTAAATACTGTCATCTTTGTCTTACAACACGTTGGTGGTAGCCCTGAATGCGGCCCTGTACGCCGTCCTTGCTTTTGGCAATCACGCATCCATTCTATCTTGGGCGTAAATACACTTAGTTTTCATTATTTGTGAGAAAACAGAAAAGTTAACGAGTACCTTAAAAAAATCCCGACTGCAATAATTGAAAATTAATTGTGTTAAGACGAATGTCAAAATTTCAATATACCCACTTCTAAGATGAATCCAACAACACCTGTAGTCCGTGCAATGTTTTTTGAACATCATCAGAGTTATTGGCTATAGTAAAATACGGGAAATACCCTATTTCAAAATGTTTGAACCCCCAGAAAGAGATTTTTTTACTGCGCTTTAAACCGACCAGAATGTTGAAAAATGTCGAATATGGAAGTTCTAATTTTTAATAATTTTTAGTTTTAAAAAAATGGCGTCAAGAAGGTTGACTGCATTTCCTGTGGTTGGGAGCGTATAAATATACTAACATCAACAAAATTTCATATAAGATAGTATTTGAAGTTCACCCGATTAAACAGGTTAAACCAGACTGTTCTTATGCTAACGTCAATTCATTAATGATCAAATAAAACTCGCTCTTAGATAATGTAATATAAATTGTATGACAATCACAACCTTTTAACCTTGGACCCAAAACACTGGCATTATTAAGTTCGAAGTTTTATTTTGTAATCCGGCTTTAGGCAAAAATAAATAAACGTTTGGGTTAATTTCTGTATATTGAAAACAAGCGTGGAACGTGTATGATACCGTGATTCTTCAGAATAAGGATGCTTGACTTTCATCAATTGGCTGAATTCAAAAAACAGACTTTATTTTTCCATAATTATTTTAACCCCTTACTTAGTGCCGTTACTTCATACGGTTGTTACAGTGTGTTTTAGAAATAAAATCTTATGGAAATCATAGATTTTTATACCTATTTTTCCGGACGTAAACTCACTCCACTCTCGGAATGTCCGGGTGGAGGGTGGGCTCGAGGGAACAACATCGAAGATAAAATTTGTTTTTTGAACATCTGCGGGATCAACAGCAACATTGATGCTGTTCATCACTACCTGCAATCCAATCGTCCCGCCGTGCTTTTCTTGGCGGAGACAAAAATCTCAGAGACTGCACCGATTAACCATCTCAACTTCCCAAACTACGAGGTGCACTCCAATCTGAGAAAGAACGGGGGAGTTGTGGCTTTTGTCCGCAGCAGTCTTTCCTGCTCCAGGGATCTTTCTTTGGAATCAGACCGGAAGGACATTCTGTGGCTTCGCCTCAACTCCAAAACATCACCCAAATTTATTTGCTGCCTTTATCGCTCTCCATCGAACCATAACTGGGATGACCTACTCGAATACCTCGCCGTCCAGATCGACTTCCTGAACATCAATCACCCCGCATCAGAGGTAGTTCTTCTCGGTGATATCAATGCCCATAATGAGCTTTGGTTGGGCTCAAATAAGACCGATGCAGCAGGTCGTGCAGTCGAAGCGTTCGCTCTTACTCAAGGGCTGACCCAGCTGGTGACGAGCCCTACTTTTTTCCCCCGCGTCTCGTCACACGCCAGTAGCCTGCTGGATCTCTTTCTGACCACGCATCCTGCCCCTTACAGCACTGCTGTCCTGTCCCCCCTGGGTAACTCAGATCACGGTGTTGTGGAAGTTAGGTTTCGGTCAGAAGCCGCTGTGGCAGCAGAAACTCGCACAGGCCGCAAAACTTGGCATTACGGACGTGCCGACTGGGAGGGGCTCAGATACTTCTTCTCTAGCTTTCCTTGGAGAGATGTCTGTTTCACTGACGCGGATGCGTCGACTGTCTGTTCTTCAATAACCGAAATTATCCACGTCGGAATGGAGGAATACATCCCTCACACAGTGAAAGTTCCTAAACCAGGGTCCAACGGCTGGTTCAACAAATCGTGTGACACAGCTCGCCAGCAGAAGATCAAGGCCCACAGAACCTACTTACAAAACCCCACTGTAGAGAACAGACAAGCCGACGTCGAGTCCAGAGACAAATATAACGAAGCGGTTCGCAATGCCAAAAACCAGCATGATATAAAAGTTAGGCACAGGGTAATGTCGCAGCGCAATGGCAGTCGGTCTTTCTGGACGCTGGCCAAGCAGATTGAAAAGAACTTCTCACACAGTAGCCCACTTATGTGTCAGGATGGAACTATTGTATTCGACTCAAAGGCCAAGGCGGAAGTGCTAGCCAAGATCTTTGCTGCCAACTCCACCATGGACGTCCCCACCAACGCCCAAGTGCCGTCAATTCAAAGGGTTCCCCACACTATGCGGGAGGTAACATTCAGGCATAAGACCGTAAGACGAGTGCTCTTGTCGCTCGACATCAACAAAGCTTCTGGTCCGGACTTGATTCCTGCCATTGTACTGAAGAGATGTGCAGCGGAGCTTGCTCCAGTTCTTTCACGTCTCTTCCAGATATCTTATGAATCCGGCACCTTCCCAGAAAACTGGAAATTTGCTCATGTACAGCCCATCCCAAAAAAAGGATCTAAAACCGACCCTTACAACTACAGGCCTATAGCTCTGCTTTCTGTTATAAGTAAAGTGATGGAGAGGTGCATAAATCGCGAGCTTCTGGACTACCTCGAACGTCACAGCTTGATTAGCGACAGGCAGTATGGTTTCCGGCACCAACGATCCACAGGGGACCTCCTAGCTTACGTCACGCAACTGTGGAGTAAACTCATCCAGTCTCATGGTGAGGCTCATGTCGTTGCTCTTGACATCACGAAAGCGTTCGATCAGCTGTGGCACGCTGCCCTCTTAAGCAAACTTCCATCCTACGGCCTTCCAGAAAAGCTTTGCAGATGGGTGGCTGACTTTATCTCTGGCCGCAAGATATCCGTCGTAATTGACGGATTCTCCTCTTCATCCCACAACGTCAACGCGGGTGTTCCCCAGGGATCGGTCTTGGCTCCAACACTGTTTCTCTTACATATCAACGACCTCCTTTCCTGCACGATCAACCCAATCCACAGCTTCGCTAATGACAGCACTCTACATGCATGAATTCAGAGTGACAAGCCGATCTCTGCCGCTGAGCTGGAATAAAGAAGACTAGCGACGACTTCTTCTCTGACAAGAGACCTGGAGGCTATCAGTGCTTGGGGACGCAACAATCTTGTACAGTTCAATGCTTCCAAAACACAGTACTGTACTTTGACGAACAAAAAGCGTCCTAGCGCTCATACAGTTTCGATGGACGGTCGAGTTCTACCAAAGAGCCATTCATTTCGGCTGGTCGGAGTCCAGATCACCGAGGACCTGATCTGGCACGAACACATCTCTTCAATAGCTGCAGCTGCTGGGAAAAAGCTAGGCTATTTGTTTAGGGCTAAGAAGTACTTTTCTCCGCATGACCTTCTCACTCTATACAAGGCCCAGATAAGGCCTAGCCTCGAGTATTGCTCACACATTTGGGGTGCTGCCGCCCCGACTACATTGTCCATGCTCGATGCTGTCGAGAGGAGGGCGGTCCGGCTGATCGATGACTCTTCCCTAACAGACCGTCTCGGGACTCTTTCGCACCGGCGGGCCGTCGGCGATCTAGCTCTTTTCTATCGCTACACCAACGGACTTTGCTCCTCAGAGCTCTCTTCCATGATGCCGCCGTGCGATGTGCCTGCCAGACAGACCCGCCTGGCTTCGGCGTCCCATCCTAACCGTGTCAAACTTCGTGCATCCAGAACTGGCCGATACGACCGCTCCTTTGTCCCGAGGGTGTCTAGATTGTGGAACAATCTACGGGAGGAAGCTTTTCCCAGTTCTACTAACCTTAGGCAGTTCAAAAATCGTATTAACAAAATTTCTTTGGGATCATCATAGCAGCCGCGGTGTTCCGGCATTTAGGCTTCTGCCTGCGCGGCTGTTTCGATATAAAAAAAAAAACCTCTAATTAAATTTCACTAACGTGTACTTACTATATCTATAGCCGTATGCCGAATATACAATTCGTTACTATAAGCCGTAAGGGTTAGTAGCTACTGACATAATCAATTGGAAGTGTACCACCGGTAATCAATGACGATCGTATTATTCGTAATTCCAGTACTATAGGAAATAAATTGTACTCGTTTTAAAAATCCTTGAGTTAAGCTCAATTTGTATGAATATTTACTATTTCATCAGAAAAATACTCGCAAATAAATAACAGCAATCTACAATTAAATTTCTCAAGAAAACTACATTTTAAACAACAAAGTGTTTAGCAATCTGCAATCGTTTGACCTTAGACCCAAAACACTGGCGTTAATAAGTTGGAAGTTATATTATACAATCTGGATTTGAGCAATTAATGATAAATTAAAAATAAATACAGGTTTGGGTTCATTTCTGTATATTAAAAACAAGCCTGATACCGTAATTCTTCAGCACAAGGATGCTTGAATTTCATCAATTGACTGAATTCAAAAAACAGACAGAGACGTTATATAGTCTTTTTCACGAGTATCCATTACGGTAGAATGACAGCTGATGATCTAGTATTTCAAAATTCCCCATATCGGCAAAGGACACAATTCTGACGGATCCACCAATGTCAGGTAGACAGAGCCATATTTTGTTTTGGTTTTTTGTATGCTACAGATTCATTTTGCTCTTGCTAAGCCGTTTTAAAAAATAAAAAAAATGATTGCGTCTGTCAAACAACTATCAAACCATGGCCAACTGAGTATGCAAGTCGGCATGAAACTTACATAGACCGACACCGAATCATGGCCAGCTATAGATACGTCGAGATAAGAAATCGATTTCTCTTGATTTGCAGTGGGCAATTCTCACCAACGTGCGAAGACCGACGAACATTTTTACTACTTTTTGAACTTCTAGTTCCAATATGTAGAATGAATGACAATTGAAAACTAGACCTTAACACATTCACGACCACAATGCATGGAGTAAAACACGACGTAGCCGATAATTATTGTTTTTTCATTTTTTTTAGTGCAAATGTACTTTTTCTGTAAGACAATTCCTATAAAATGTGTGAGTATTATTTTGATTTTTGAATACCTTTTTCTTGATTCTTTTTTTCATTATAGCCGTAGTGTACCACTGGTGGCCACCGAGGGAACTGAAAAGTTCAAAACACAAGCGGTGTCAAAGAGGCTAGAAATAAAGACAAGCGTGTTTCTACATTTTGTAAAGATTGTCCAGAGCAACTGCCACTATGTCTTGAATGTTTTAATGAAATTCATAAGTAATGTCATGTTACCTACCTAAATATATACAAGTAAGCGCTTACTTCCATTGTTAGAAAAGGAATTTTTGAGTTATTTTTCCAGAATTATTTTAACCCCTTACTTAGCTTCGTTACTTCATATGGTTGTTACAGTGTGTTTCAGAAATAAAATCTTATGAAAATCATAGATTTTTATACCTCTAATTAAATGTCACTAACGCGTACTTACTATATCTATAGCCGTATGCCGAATATACAACTCGTTACTATAAGCCATAAGCATTGGTAGCGCGTGAAATAATCAATTGGAAGTGTACCATCGGTGACCAATGACGATTTTTGGTAAGACAGGGGATGTACAATTAAATTTCTATATTTTCTATATTTTAAACATCAAAGTGTTTCGCAATCTGCATCAGAATTTTGTAAAAAAATGATAAACAATCTCTCTACATGTTTACTTGAATCTTCTGTCTTCAAATTTCCAACATTTGACTGATGATTTATGGTGTTAGTACACACAAAAAATTATGTCTGTACTTACTTAGACAAGTCTATCTTGGACTTCAATAAGTGTTTGTCTATACTAACGAATGATTCTGTTGACCTTTCTATTGTATGTATTGAGAAAAGTGTGTAAAGGTAGATTGACAAATATTTACTTAGTATTTAAATATTGTGGAGGCCAGTCAACTAGAACAATAAATAAAAATCAGACACAAAAACATTAGTGTCAATAACTCATCCAGTTTCATGTATTCCAATAGCAACCTAAAAACACTTTCAAGTTTACCTTGATAAATATGACCATCCCAGATGCAAAATATTTTTCACTGACATTTTCCAGCAACCTGACCTGACTTATTTATAAGTATTCCTCTAGTTCAAGAACAGAAAACTATATGGTAGCAAAAACAATGCAAAGAAAAAATATATTAATTATCAAGAAAAAAATGATCTATAGATAGTAGTAAGTTGTTAGATACATACAAATTTTTCCTTAATAGTGATATTTTCGTTATTTAGTTAGGTGTTTTTTCACTAGACAGGCTATCAAGTATGTTATGATAGAAAATCAGCCATAAAAAATTGTAAAAGAAGAAAGAGCAGATACATAGGTACATATTTATGGATATCTTGTACAAGTTACGACTCAAAAAGAGTACATAAACATTTTACAAACTGCCTATATTATCGAGCAGTGTGGAATTTTACTATTCCTATTATGTCTACACCATATGGAGAGTCCATGTCCAGTGCCCCAACTTGATGAAGGGCATCAAAAGCCAAATAAAATTAAAAAAATGTTTCAATTTTCCTAAAGGCAAGGTAGGGCCCCCAAATTTTGCTCATGAGTGCCCAAAGTCCCCTACATAGCTTAGGACAACTCCGATTGAGGCATTCATTTCTTCCATAACTAAACACTTTGAGTATCAAGAAATGGCTAATAATTTTTCATGTTTATTACTTAAAATGGATAAAAATCGAACAATTTCAATAGCTACACATTATCAAAAGTAAAATAATGCACTTACCATTTCAGTTTTTGAACGTAGGTATGTTTATTGAGGTATACGATGTATTGCTTGAGCAGGGTACTACTTATCATACCTAAAAAAACAAACCGTTTTAAATACAAGCTGGAAATTTAACATACCGTACAATGGCAAATCAATGACGAGAAATACACTCTGTTAGTTTCTATCAATAGAAAATTTCATTCAAAAAAAGTCTAAAGAATACAAACCAAAATAATGTATAAACAAAAATCCTGCCCTCCCCACTTGACCTCCTGACCTTTTGACAGATGAACTGACAAATGCGAACTCTCACTCTCACCTTTCTTTTGCCAACGGAAGAAAAACAAAGACACCAGGACACCGCGCGAAGCCGATTCACTTTGAACTTTGATTGAAAAATACCGACTGGTCTCCTTGACAGCCAATTTGCAATTGCTGCTTCAAATATACAGTGAATTGAGCTGACCACGCGATCCTTTATCGTTTAATAAGTTCTCAGGGACGATTCAACTCAACTATAATAAGCCTAGCTCTCAGTACTTACATTTTTCCATGATATTGACCACCGTATCACCCTGCACTGGTTATGCAAGGGCAAGCAAGGGTTATAGGATTAAAATTTTATTTTTAACCGTTGTATAACTACACATAGGGAATTCTTGCACGTTACAATATATCAGGAAAAGGCGATTAGGAATAAATTGACCATATAATAGAAAACAACGGACAAACTACACGCGTGTGAGAATTTAGAATCCTAGTGTGTGTTGCAAGATGCAGTTTATGAATGAGCCTATTTTTTTAAGTAGCGAACCGCCTTCCTAGCCTTGGTTGTGAATTGAAACATAAGCAGCAACTAAAAGATATCTATTGATGATTAGGACTAGCGCTAACATAGATCGCTTTCATTCGTATTGAACTTTGTTCACCTTTCAATGCTGATAATAAAAGAATGATGTTCGAATAATCACAATAGGATTTATATTATTTGTATTCGAATATTTGGGCATCTTGTTTATATTTTAGGAGTTTCACTTGCAACGAAAATAAATACCGTGAACCGAACCGGTTACACTGCTTTTCAATAATTGCACTTTCAGATTATAAACACATTCAGATTAAAGTCAGATTGTAGGTAACGAACTGACACGAATTTAACATTGGAAATTGGACTTCGGTGGGGAAATAGTAAATTGCATACCTATACTACAACAGAAAGCAGTGTGTACATATTGCCGAAAACCACATATACTCTCATTGGCGTATACCTACTATTTTTTACGTGCGCTCTAAAGTAGATTAAAACATTTTGAAAAATACCTTTTTGAGAAAAAAATGTAGAACAGAGGTGTAAGATTCATTCATTGGTGCTCTTTAGCGTGACCTTTTGTCTATGACCTTCAAGGTCATTTGAAGGTTAAGACAGTTTTCTTAGGCCCGTATCGTCAGTCGTCCCTACAATTGTAGGGCGCGTTTATGGCCTCCTTGATTGTCATAGTTTTCTACTTCTCCGTGTCAGAACTCTATTTTGAGGTTATATTTGCATAAAATTGTGCTTGCTTTTGAGTTATATCATGTTTTATCAGCCTGTAATTTCCTACAATTTAAAAAGAAAACATATCTTCACAATAGAAGAGCGCTGGCGCTGACACGGGACAAGTGTAATCTAGAAATGTTTGAAGGAGAGAAAGGAGTATGACAATCAAGGAGGCCATAAACGCGCCCTACAATTGTAGGGCGCCTTTATGGCCTCCTTGATTGTCATAGTTTTCTACTTCTCCGTGTCAGAACTCTATTTTGAGGTTATGTCACAAACATCTATTTGCATCAAATTGTGCTTGCTTTTGAGATATATCATGTTTTATCGGCCTGAAATTTCCTACAATTTAAAAAGAAAACATATCTTCACAATAGGAGAGCGCTGACACGGGACAAGTGTAATCTAGAAATTTTTGAAGGAGAGAAAGAAGTATGACAATCAAGGAGGCCATAAACGCGCCCTACAATTGTAGGGCGCCTTTATGATGCGAACCCCTATTTTGGCACTAGGAACCTAAATCAATAAGGCTTAAGTGACGTCTAGGGAGCAAGAAGTGTTTTGGACTCCTATGAAGAAGCATAGCGATTTTGATAAATTGCTATAAACAAATTCTGAATTAACGGAGGACTGAAACGTGTTTGAGATCCAAATGTTTTTTTTTAGTTTTTTATTGACTACTTCGATCTACTTTGTAGACGTGCTCCTGAAAATTGAAGAGGTACCTAACAACGACGTTTCTGAACGAGAGGTTTCAAGAGTGGTAGGTAAGTAGAATATGAGTTTTGGCATCTTTCTACCACATCGAACTCACTGCTTGTGGGGCGTCATTGAGCCGTATTCATAAAACAAAGGATATCCTTATACTTGCAAATTTTGAAGGAAATCCTTCAGATGGTATTTATAATTTTTTTTATTTGCTTTTTGAGTAAAAGCATATCCTTCAAAGCAGTTACATACCTGTAAGTAAAAGAATATTCATAAACTTCACCTTATACTTGGCATAGGAAGCATATCCTTCAAAAATTCATTTTCGTGAACATCATAAGTTACAGGTGGTTTCTCACGCTGCATCATTTCTAATTTCGTTTTATAATACTCTTGTTGTAAAATACTTGTTTGGTACTGCTGTAATAGCACTAGACGTTGTAGTTCTTTTGTATAGTTGACCCTTTGGTTTCCTCAGTTTCGTATTTCCCTGTTGCTGATTTTCTTTTTGGTGGCAATGTCTTTTGAATTGCTGGAGCTGTAATACTAACTGTTTGCTCACTACGCTCGGTATATAGTTCACCTTCTTCTTCTTGAACACTACCAACCTGAATGGCACCTCCAATTTTCCCAATTGTAGGATTACAGTCACCTTCCATAGCTTTCAGCAACTTTCTTTCCCAATCTAACAATTTAATTGCTTTATTACCAGTTTTTTTAGATCTGTTTTTTCTTCAATCTTGATTTCATGTTGTTGATTTTTTTTAATAAGCATTTAGTATCTAATGGTTTACCGAATGTTGATTCATATTTTTTCAACATCTTCTTCAAGGCATCGTCCTTTCTCATTTTTATTTTTTGAAAATATTTGTCATCGCCACTTTTACTTCGTAAAAAATTGTGTAAAACACATGCCGTACGTACAATTAGAATAGTAGTATCTACTTTAGTTTCTAATGGCCTGTAAAATATTCGCCATTTTTGAGACAAAATACCAAACGCATTTTCCACGACCCTTCTAGCTCGACAAAGTCTTACATTGTATTTCTCTTTTCTGACGTCTGTTAAGGTCTGCTTATAAGGAAATGGTCTCATAAGGTATGGTTTTAAAGCAAATGCTTCATCACCAATTAAGACGTACGAGCAGATTTCATTTTGCCCAGGGAGAAATCTAGGTGCAGGGACACTCATTAAATTTTGTTCAAATCGTTTTCCCATGTTTAAGGTTTCGAAAATACCCCCATCACTATTTTTTCCGAAACCACCAATATCAACACATATAAATTTATAGTCCGGGCCAACAATGGCCATAAGTACTATTGAATATTTATGTAAATAGTACCAGTAATTGGAGCCACTGTTGTTAGGTCTCTTGATTGTTACATGTTTACCGTCCACGCTGCCAATGCAATTGGGAAATCCCCATCTATTTTCAAATTCTGCAGCACATTTTTTCCATATATTCTCTGTTGGTTCTGGTAAATATATATGCTCCATATGTCTGCATATCGCTTCACAGACTTCGGTTACGATTGCACTCACTGTTGTAAAGCCAACTCGAAAGCTATGCCCAATGGTATAGAAGGTGTCACCAGTGGCAAGGAATCTATAAAAAAATCGTTTTTAGGTGATGAAGTAAAAAAAAGGTGGAAGAATATCAGAGACACATTTGCAAAATATATAAAATCTACCAAACCAAAGACCGGCCAAGCAGTGGGCAACATAAAAAAATGGCAGTGGGCTGACTACATGGAATTTTTCCGTCCTTTTTTGGCATTTGCCAAAACGTCGTCTAATGTGAAAGATATTGACGTCATACATTACGAGAATGCCGAATTTAACTCAAATATATATCAGGAAAGGGCTGGAAATGTAGAAACCGAAAATTTGGAAGACCGCGGCCATGGAGAAGATGAAAATGCTGATGTAGATGCAGAAGATGCACAGAACGCCTCGGCAACACAGACAGCACCACCTTCTTCATTGAACACTACAGTAGTGACTACTCCAGGGCACACCTTTCCGCAGACTGCAACTACACCAAAATATAAAACGAGCAGAAAACGCTATGAACCACCATCTTCGTCTGTACAACACCTCATTAATTATTTTGAAGGTAAAAAACCTAAAAAAGAGAACGAGGCCATTGATTCACTTTTCTTGGCACATGCACAGACTGTGAAACACTTCCCTTAAAGCGTCAAGCCCGAATAAAACTAAAAATAGCCGAATTAATAGCGCACGAAGAATTTGAACATATTGAAGAAATGTCTTCAGCGTCTACCCAGAATTCTGCAAGTATGTATGATAGTAGTATGTCGTCCTTCCCAAGCGGCACTGGGTTTACTCCAATAATATACCCAACAGAGGGGGCAAATTCTGCCTCGAATTATTTAGCAACATTTAATCCTAGTGGCAACATGTAGTCCAATTATTACAATAAAATATTTATTTCACGATCCCTGAAGTTTTCGTATTCGATAAGCCTACTAATTTTAATACATATAATTTTTTTACCTGAGTGTAATAGCAAGTCGTTCTTCTGGCGAAATAGCTTCACGATAATTTGTGTCAGATTTTCGTATTTCATCTTTCACCAAGTTCAATATTTCATCGAAACACTCTGGAGTCATTCTAAAATATATGTAAAAGCGCTGTTCATCCAGCCGAAGTTGTGGCATCAAGGTATGGTATTCCCCAAATTTATTTCGTTCCAAGTTAATATCATGTACCCACTTCCTTCGTTTCCTAAACAAAATTGATAATATTTGTTTTATGTACTTCGTTAAACTTAATATAGTACATACCCAACTATCAAATGGCGTTAAACATAACTTACCGTGCATTTTGTTCCTCTTCTAAAGCAAGAAATAGAAGTGCCTCCTCTTCTTCTGAAGACGAGCTCATTGCAAAAGGCAAAAATAAAATGTACGCAACCTGTCGAAACCTTCACGTTCGCGGAGCGAATAAGACGCTTTGGTATGAATAAACAGGTGAAACAGATTGCGAATTTCGCTCCGAATTTCGTTGCGAATACTTCGCCGCGATTATTTCGCGCCGGTTTGTGGGATGCTTAAAGATTTTTTCGCGAGATCCCGTAGTGAACCGGAGCGGGAACAGATGGAATTTCCCCTTCCTCTCGAAGTTTTGACAGTTTCAAGTTACACCGGGAGTAGTTAGATGGCGCTTGTTGCCCAAAATGTTTGCTTTGAGCTCCTTGATAAACTTAGCTGCCTTGTTTGAATCTGAAATAAAAAGACCGATCGTTTTTTTGTGCAATGTACATATATATCAATAAAATCAATCATTTGATATAACAAGTGCGGTTCATATATCTTCTCCCTCGTCATTTAAAATCAGGTGGACGTGTTCCTCCATTTATGATTTAATAATTTAACTCGAAGACAAATTTTCAATTGCGATGCCTATTTTTTAAATGACATTGACATAAGACCTGTCACATTCTTGTTATGGTGATCATGACAATGGTTTTCAGGCTCATTTGAAAGTCAAGACAATTTTCTTAAATGGAAAGCTCTCTTTTTTACACCGGAAATAAAAAGAACAAGATTCTTTCTTTAAGTATGCCCATGACCTACGACCTTGACTATGATCGTCAAGGTCATTTGAAGATCAAATGTACTTATAACGGGACACGTTCGTCTACTTTCAATTCCTGCGAAAAAATCGGTGGGGGAAAAATACACAGAAAATTCTTGCCACAAGGGTACTTGATCTAATAAACACTAATCAAGCCATCCCTCTTCAATTTTCAATCGCCGGTACGCTCTCCTTCGTTGAAGTTTTGCATAAATGTTTGTTTTTTCCTTCAATGCACGTGCTTCTATGGGCTTTTTGTCATAAGCCTTTTTATAAGCCCCTAAAAAGGATGCAGTGGTGTTAAATCACAGGATTTAGAAGGCCAATAATCACCGAGACGAAAGAGCAACGATATATGTGGCAAGATCTTGTTGGAACTGAATGCTGCTTCATAAAATTCATCCACATTTATGCAAAATGGACATGGAAAGCTGCGACAAAGAATTACGTAGGTAAAAAGCGAAGGAAGACATTTGGGCTTTTTATGCTTCCATAAAAAATAACAATCTGTAACTATATTTTTTTATCCAAATCTAGCGTTAATTTCAGATCACTCTTTATTTTATTAGTGTCAAATTCAACATTAAGATGCCAAAAATCAACCTCACTTTCAAATGCGAACGTCATTATTTCGATAATGATGCTAAAAGTGTTAATTCTTATTTTGCCATTCACCCGAGCCGTGAATGAATACTGTAAGATTTGTGAGAATGGTACACATACCCTGTGCAAATATAAAGCAAGTATTTAATCATTTAATGTTTCCTCACGTTTAAGTCCGAAGATATTTTTTTCATATTCGATCTTGACGAGATATATTTTAGACATTTCTCAGATTGTTGCGACCAAAAGAGAGACCCATTCAAAATCTGATATTTCAGACTTTGACGTCATCTATGATAATTTGGCACAGCAACGTTTCTCCTATCTGAACTAATTAGAAACCTAATTTGACAAGGTTACATAATAAGAATAAATTCAAATCATGTGGTGCATCGTCATATTTGCAATTCTAACAGAGTTTCTGTTTTGATTTGAATTTTTTCAGGCTAATTTGTCGTTGTATATGTGAATTTTTTGCGTTTAAATCGAAATAATGCTTGTGTCTGGTATAAAAATGATAGTCCACATTTACAGAAATTAGTGTAATAAATTATTTTTCATTTTATAAATAAAAATCATGACTGGCTATTAATTTAATGTTTTTTTTTGTCAAACGATTTCAACGTACCGAGCATATTTGATTCATTGGCGCATATTTATTTTTATTTAGTATTATTCCCATACACTATCGTACGTACGTATAAATTTGTAGTATAATTTTGTTTCCAATAATCATAGCTTTTTTGTTGTCTGTTCAAATTTTAATTTGTTAGACAGGGTGTTCGAAAAATAGACGGAGACATTTTAGAGGATGATTCCTTGTTAAAAAATATGATAGAAGGTTTCTATAAACATGGGTCCGGAAATGCAGAGTTTTCAAGATAGGGGGTGATAAACTTTAAAAAATCTTTTTTTTTAATATCTTACTCGATTCTGTTGAAATTTGTCAATATTATTTGTTGTATTAAGAGACTATTTTAACCCTAAATAGATCAAAATTATTAGGTCCAGTGGCGTCACGGGGCGCACCTTGGCAAATATTATCAAAAAAATTTACGCCACTGCCTTTTCTGTAACTTTAATATTTGTTGATTGATGCATCTGAAAATACAACTTCTGTGCCTCATGTATGTTTTTCGTATCTCACTTCGTTTTCCAGAAAAAAAATAACCGTTTTATTGCATATTACTGGACAAAATTGGTTTACTAATTTTTGCTAAAAAAATCACATGGAGGTTTGAGACTTGTGTGCCAATTCAAATTGCAACAGAATCAAGTAAATATTTTTTAAGATATCAATAAAAGTTGTTTATAGAAACTTTTTTTCATACTTTTCAACAAGAAATCACCCTCCAAAATGTCTCCGCCTATTTTTTGAGCACCCTGTATATTAGCCATTCTGATATATACAAGATGGAAAGGAGTGCTTCCATGACAGTTCCCTGGAGACTATCAATTTCCATCTTTGACGCAATAACATTATTTATCTTAGGCCCGTATCGTCATAGTTTTCTAATTTTCCGTGTATCCGTGCATCAAATTGTGCTTGCTTTTGAGTTATATCATGTTTTATCAGCCTGAAATTTCCTACAATTTAAAAGGAAAACATATCTTCACAATAGGAGAACGCTGACGCTGACACGGCACAAGTGTAATCTAGAAATTTTTGAAGGAGAGAAAGAAGTATGACAATCAAGGAGGCCATAAGCGCGCCCTACAATTGTAGGGACGACTGACGATACGGGCCTTAGTTACTTGTATCCTGTTGGTCAGATAATCTGAAAACCATTTAAATACTTTTCCAGATACACCGTAAATGTTTCCAACTTACTTGACCGTATGGTCCCATCTATTTTTCCAATGTACTCTTCAAGTCAAGGAATACAGCACCACCCCTTCAAGAACTATAGCCCCTTTCCAGTGTTCAGTCACTAATTGGAGGGCTCTTTCTGTAGAAAATTTCCTCCGAAATCCTATTCCTCAAAGATAGTGCTGTAGCCAAGTTGCCAAGTATATGATATATATACTAATATAGTTCGTTACAGCGCCATCTATGATTTCTAATTAGTGCTGAGAGGAGAAACAACTGGCAATCTCTCATGGATGAGGCTACGGTATCTTATTTTTATCCGAGATAATTTTTGGACGCGGGAATGTAGTATTAAGTTAGCTATATTTAGGTAGAATATATGAATACCCAAACCTTCAGTCACTTTGCGAATTTAATCAAGTCCTTCATAAGGTTTTACAACGATTTATACTCTGCGTCTGCACATAATATTCTGGAACACGTCTTTCAGAAAGGTCCTTCAAAGGCATGTGTAGACTACAAGACCTTGAATTTAAGTGAAGACTTGAAAGAGTACATAGTCAGCATACACAACGACATCAGGAACCATGTAGCTTCAGGGCAAGAGACAAAAGGAGGCCTTGGAAGACAGCCCTCTGCTGCTAATATGAATATGCTGGTAAGGAACATTACGCTGTGTTCAGCCACATATTTTTTCAGATGCGACAGCCACTGTCGGTCTCTTTCGTCTTCTTGTCTCAACTTTTTTCGCTGCCCTACCCAATTCCATCGGCGTCCGGAGGAATTTTTCCCAGGAGTGGTTACACGTCACACTCCATTATCGTGATGTCACGAATGTCATACGTCAAACCATAGAACCAATAAATTTATCATTTTAACGCATAGAACTCGAGTTGGCGTTGATATAATTTTGATAGATTAATGACATGCTGTCGACTGCTTACAGCAGTGGCGTACCTTCGTAAGTGTAGGCGGGGCGATGGACTTATTCAAATTCATAGAAATTTTTAAAGCTTGAGGGGAATTATCTTAATTTAACTTTGATGATGATGTTTGGTTTCAGGAATGGGACGATGAACTAGCTGCTGTGGCTCAAAGATGGGCTGATCAATGCATCCCTATCAATGAGACGATACAGCACGATATATGTAAAAGATCCAGTAAGTTAAAAATAAAAAAAGTGAAAAACATCCAAACAGAGTTACATGCTTTTTTTAATTTTAGTATCAATCTGTGAAGCTGCGATAAATGTTCTGCGAGCTCGTCATTGACACAGTGAGAGCTCTTTGGCAATATTATATAAAATTCATAAGCGAGCCACTAAGTTATTTTTGATTTCCTTTCTTTAGAACGTTTTGAAGTGGGACAAAACGTAATAACTGCTGTAACAGCCGATCAAGACTTTCCAGAACTAGCTGCCCTAATTTTACATTGGTATAAACAAGTTGGCAACGTTATACCTTCAGATATAGATCATTTTTCTGGGTATGTATATTATGGAAAATATTAATATTCTCATACGGGGTATCCCTCCTCCTCATTTTTTATGCGCTTAAAAAAAATCTGATCTGATATAATGTTTTTTCATAGAAAAGTGCTGTCGAGTAGAGTTGCATTTTTTAAATGGACCACCCTGTATATTTTCAGTGAAATGATAGTTGCTTAACACTCATACTTTTTGTATCATTTCATAATACATTGAGTTTTTAGCGCTGGGTCTGTCGGTAACTCCCTTATTATATATGATATCTGGAAAAATTGTATCCAACGGAATGCTTATTGCTTAAAAATTATTTTTATATATACAGGGTGATTCATATCTTCGTGGTTTTCAAATTGAAAAACATCCTTTTTTTTGCAAATAGGCTCATTCAAACGAAGCAAATCGATAAACACTATACGGTTTTATTTTCAAATTGTTGAGATACTGGACGATCAATCGAAAAAACACTCAATACTTTTTTGTCCGAAAAATGTATGATCTCTTTTTTTATGCCCTACCCACTTACTTCTTCAGTTTTCTGGACAGTGTATACAGGGTGGCCAAAAACGCAAAATGAACTGGTAAAACACCCTGAATATTTCCAATCTTCTTGATTCCCCTTTTCATAATTTCGGATCGCTCACATTAATGCAAAATATACATCGAGCTCGAGCTGGATTGACAATTAGAAACAGTTTAGAATCAAATCGCCTATAAAATGCCTTGAGATCCTGTTAATCGATGTTTAAAGAATATTTAGGATGTTCAGCAACATTAAAATCTTCATTTTTTTTTGTTTTTAGGAGAAAAACTTGTATCTCTAAAACAGTCACTTTTAGAGAAAAGTTCTAAAGCAGATTTTTCATTCAGAATGTCCTGAAAAACCTAAAAACACTGTCCGGAGAAAAAAACAATTTTGAAATTTCTTCAAAAACATGTAAAAGAAAATTAGACGCAAATTTTTTAGCCATCCAACATGCAGAATGGTTAAAATAGTATTTTTTTAATACCATGCTAACATCCGAATCATGGTATTTTTCCCATCAGATGCGAGGATACTACCTGGATTGTTTGGAATTTCACAGTTCGATGTTAACTCAAATTGGAAACCAACTTTTTAGCATCAAAAGAGGCCAGTTCATGATAGGCCAATACACGCAACTGGTGTGGGCTAAAACGAGATATATCGGATGTGGCATATCAATATTTCTGGACATACAGTCTTCAACGCCAAAGAAAAAGTTTTACAACCACAGATTGGTTTGCAACTATGGGCCTGCCGGAAATATTCTCGGACATACTGTATATCAAAAAGGAATACCATGTTCTAAATGTGCTTGGGGCCAATGTGACATCTTTAGAACTAGTCTATGTACGAGTAAAGGTATGTGCTAATATCCTTACTTAGGCTGTAAAGGGTGGCTCAGAAACAATGAAAATATTTCTAGAGCAAAAGGTATATCCAGAAATAAACAAATGCTATTGCGATTCTTTAATCTACTTTATGCGCTAGAAATATCGACAGTGTTTTCTGAATAGATAAATGAGCTATCCACATCTCAAGTTACACAAAGTTTGACCCAATTTATCGCAGTCAGATACCTATATGCAAGTTAATAACCCATGACCATCGCCGTTAAACAACTATGTATTTGAACTTATCTCTATGATAAAGAAATAATAAACTAAACAATTTATTAAAGAAAATGAACTATGATCAAGGAATATATCAGCATATGCAGTCACACCAAAAATGATGTCATTTCATGTTACTTAGTAACAAAATAATTATCTAATTGTCAAAAGAATATACCTGATTAACTGATCAACTTATGAGTCAAATTTTTTAAAAACGAGGTGGGTTCTTCAAATTTCGAGGGAAAATTGAACATTTCATATATAGTATTGCTTGTATTGCAGATGATCGGAAAAAAATACAGAACAACAAAAGAACCTTAAGTCAGCCATGTTTTAACATGATTCAGGGACAAAATTCAACTGAAACAATATACCTTTCACCTAGCGATGCACTATCAAACGTGCATATTGCTATCAAGAATAACAAAAGGCATGTGGTGTTTAGTAAAAACAGAGATGTGAAACATGGCAGAGTTAGAGTAAAAAAGAATGTGAATCTAACAGATTTAAGTCAAGAGTATCGAAGAAGTTCAGTGAATGTTGTTGATCTGTTAGATACAACAAAAAGTCCAATATCTGACATAAATGGAAAAATATTTGGTATGTCAGAAGAAGGCGGAAGAATGAAAGGAGGCAGTTTAGTATCATTGACCTATTTTTAAAAAACATTTCCATGGTCGAACGCAGGGGGTGCGAAAGGACCGTGGCCCCCCTGTGAATCCCGTTTGACCATAAAATTCGCATGTTTTTGTATACAATTTGGGCATTTCTTGGATTATACTCCGAGAATATTTGCTACCCCCAGTCTTCAAATAGTTTTTAACACAGATACACTTTCACATCTCTTGCCGATGATTGCTCTCCTGCAAAAAATTCCTGCAGGCGCCCATGAGTATTCCAATGCCAGAAATGTACCCAATATTCGTGAATAATCAAGATTGAAGCTCTCAAAATTATACAGTACTTTTCTTTTTTAGACTATGGGGGGAGAACAATACCTAAACCTAAGAAAGACATACTTATAGATGAAGAGGAACTGGACTATAAGAATATAAAGTATAGGAAAGTTAGAGGGATATGGTTAGATGGCCAATGTAAATGTGATCTTTTATATAGGTCAAATAAGAACAAAATAGGTGTTAAACAATATGTTCTATTACTAGTAATAGGAATCATTATAATTTCATAAAAGTCAAAATAAATTGTTTCTGGGTACAAAAAATATTGTATTTTATAAAACTTTTCATTTAATCAGGTAAATCACAAAATGATAAACAGGGCCGGCTAGCTTGAATCATGGTCCATAAGGTGTTTTTTTGGCACTGAAAGTAACTCAAATTTTAAGTTTTGCATTTATGAGATATTTGCATTTAAATATTTTGGAGAATTTGTATTTTGAACTTTTGCCAACTGTTTTCCTCTTATTTTCACGAAAACAATGCGCTCTAGGAAAAAACTCATGAGTAATCATTTGTAGCAAATTAAAGTGAAAAATCGAAAAATCACGCGTTTCGAAAGAAAACAGTGCCGTAGTATTTTTCTTTGGAAAAATAATGCCACTAATCCCCTGTATCTCCGCCACTGGTGAACGTTAATTTCAAGTAAAGATTTTTGAATGTGGACAATACTTAGATAAATCCACCTACCAAATTTTAGTTCATTACATCCAGTTGACAGTTTATTTTATATTTCTAAACGTCAACACCCGCTTAAAATGTTGTCCTGTGTATGTTTCCCTTTTTTGTCGTGACTTGTGAATCACCCTGTATATTATAAGAGGGCATGATGGCAACACTTTATATCTCAAATTAATGTTGAAATCGCAATAAAAACTAAAGTTGAAACAAATGAGTATACAATCATAAACATAATAGGTTACATATTTGAAAATCGGTGAATTTTTAAACAAAAATGTCAAAATTGCAATCTTTGGCTGTTAAAGAACCTGCCAGTACTAAAACGAAGACAGCAGTAATGAAAGTTTGATACTTTGTGAAATATTCAATTGCAATAGCTTCATAGATATTATTTTTAAGTCCAAAAAACCCCCTTATGACCTCTCATCCTTTTTCGATTAACCTCACCCTTTGACTTATCAACATCTCATAGTGAAACTTGTTGTAATTCTAACATACTACCCCTAACATCCTCTAGATTTTTAAGCAGTACATCAAGAGTTTGTTCACTTGTTTTCACAATGTATTTCTTATCATCTATATTCAAATCTAAAACCGCATACCCTTCCTCAACTCTACCACTACAACTAATAAGCTGGTTGATTCTCAGTGTTTGATCCCTACATTTTAATATCAAAGATTCAAAGTTCCTGTCTATAACCCGCTTTATGGCAGTGCTGTGTTCTCTCGGTAGCCCCAACTGCTGTAACTCGCTGTGAAGAGCATTGCTATCACAATTGTACCGTGATGTTGAGTGAACAATGAATTCCAAGCATGCTATGCACGCCTTTAGATCTATGTCTTCATCCAATGTTGTATCGCTAAACAGGTGTTCTGCTTTATTTATATCTAATGGAGGGAGTAATATACCATCAACGGCTATCTGGCAAAGTGATTTTAACTTGTCAGCTTGAAGTCTGGATAAGCTGTTTATTTCCATCAGGACCCAATCTGGACAATCTCCTTCGCCACAGAATCTGAATCTCATTGTGGAATGTTGTAGGTGCCCACGAAGAAAGTGTGAAAAATCGTCCTGTTGATGAGATCTATGGCAAGCACGAAAAACGGTTCGTACGGGCAGATTTAGGTCCAATAAGTAATGGAGACGATTGCGTGTGTCTATTTCGCCTAGAATAGATGCATTTTGAATACACATTTGAAAAATAAAGGAGTTATTTACATTACCATAACCTATGCACAAACCAGTCTTATGTGTTTGACTTACTGTTTTGTGGCACAACACAAACTTGTTTTTAAAACAAAAATGAAGAAAACTCCTGTAAAATGTTTGAGCATTTTCTGTTATTTAAGTATAGATGGCGCTCACAATACTATATGAAGTCATAGACATGAGTGTTAGCCCGGTAGTTAGTACTATTTAAACTGTCATTTGTCAATAATAATAATAAATCCTATATTTACATTTCAAGATTCGTTTGATTTTTCCATTCTTACGTTTCAGTGTCCGTAAAAATAAAAGTAAAACACTAAATCAGCGTTTTTGATCACTCTTCTGTACATGGAACTCATTTCTCTGATAAATCGGTTGTGTAGAATGAGAATTCAAGGCTGATAATATGGTGCTCGGCCCCATCAGTGTACCTACGAAAAACGATGTATAGTTTTTTTCATCTACCCTTGTGTCTGTAGCTAAGAAAAAGCTTGTTATTCAGCAAATCGCAGTCGCGGACTCCAAATTCTGTGTAACAATTTGGCTCTGGGAAGCGGTCTATTTTTTCTATACCGAATTGGACCTTGCTTATACTTTTCAGACTGCGTAGATAGTCATATTGGAATTTACAATCACAATTACGTAAAAACGTTTTATTGAAGGTAGATGCGTATTCTCGGTATATACCTCGTAAGTCCTCCTACAAATAGAGCCGCATAATCGAAATTTATGGCATAAACATTAGTCCGGGTGGTTTTTGCAAAAAAAACGTACTATCATTATTTTTTTATTGAAAAATGCATAACCAATGTACCTATAGATAACAAGAAACAACTGTGCTTGATGAGTATTTCAGTTCTAGGTACTATATAACATATTTTTATTGCAACGCATATATCGGAATATATAAGATTACTTTTTTAAGCAATTTTTTTCTTTTTTCTCAAGTTCCAATTTTTCCTTCCTTTTCTTGACATATCGCTCGTGTCTTCTCTTGATTTCCAATATTTCCTTCATCTCTTCTTTATCCTCGTCCTAAAACAAAACTGTATTACATTGATCTGTCTCTAAGGCCCCTATCGTCAGTCGTCCCTACAATTGTAGGGCGCCTTTATGGCCTCCTTGATTGTCATAGTTTTCTGCTTCTCCGTGACAGAACTCTATTTTGAGGTTATGCCACAAACATCTATTTGCATCAAATTGTGCTTGCTTTTGAGTTATATCATGTTTTATCAGCCTGAAATTTCATACAATTTAAAAAGAAAACATATCTTCACAATAGGAGAGCGCTGACGCTGACACGGGACAAGTGTAATCTAGAAATTTTTGAAGGATAGAAAGGAGGATGACAATCAAGGAGGCCATAAACGCGCCCTACAATTCTAGGGACGACTGACGATACGGGCCTAAGAGCTGCTTTACCCATTACCGATTGATTCAGTCGTAATACTAACGCCCTTCGACCATCTGACATCGGCTGCGAATACACCATCAGTTGTTTGAGTCTGTCCGACGGGCTAACTCCTCTTTCCACGACTAAAACTATCCTTGCCCACTGAAAAATAAAGAAAAACTTGTGAATGATTAACCTTACATACGAGTGGCTGCATATGCTGAGGTCGGCAGGCATATTACGTATAGTCAACGCCAAACAAAGTGGCGTGCACGTCATCACGATAAAAATTCCCCGACCTAATGCCTAGGTTTCTATCACAAACAATTGCTCTATTGCAGTTTCATATTAATGTGATATATAAATTGTAAAATGGTAATTACTCTCTTATTATGGTTAATAGTCATATAAACATTGTTATTAAAATATCACATAAGTTGCTTTCTGATAAATTTAGACGCATTATGCGAAATAAAATGTTTTGCAAACGCTCCAATCACTTATCGACATGTAAACGCACTAAACCGATTTCGCAGCGTTGACACATTGTCACCTTGAAACTTATTTAAATTGGGAACTGACATTTGTATTAATTTTGACACTGAATCAATTTGTGGCATTTCAAATCTTTATAAATCCTTTGGCCCCGCATACTGTAAATCAACAACTGTTTGTTTCAAAACAAAATTATTCATTTTACGAGTAGATAAAGGCAATTTTGGTATATAAAGATGCCCAAACAGTTAAATAGTCGGTGTAAGGAACTCGTGGCCTCGTTAATGCACTACTTTGAGCAAGAAAGGGACAACAACGGGCCTTTGTTGCCTTTAAGTGCTGTTCAAGAGGTAGGTTACTAATAATTATATGTAATGTATATTAATAATAGTGAAATTTTATTTCATTTTTTGTTAGCGTGTTGCTGCTGCTTTAAAAATTAGTTTAAGGACAGTTAGTCGTATTTCCGAGGGTGTGAAAAGTGATGCAAATTTAGAATCGCCCAAGAAAAAGCGGAGTTATATTAAACGTGTAACCAACACAGCGACATTGGATACAAGTGCCATTCGAGAAGTGATCTATAATATGTATCACAAAAGTAAGATCTTATTATAATAACTTATCAGAAATTTGCATTAATTTGTTAACTAAATTATAATGTCATATTACACATGGTTTCAGAAGAACAAGTTACGATACAAACTTTATGATCTCGATTAAGAGATAGGGCATTATTTGATGGTAGTGCCACGTCTTTAAGGCGGTTGCTTAGAGATCTTGGATTTAAGTGGCTTAAGGACAATCCGCGACGAGGGCTCATGGAACTATCAAGTATAGCTTTGAAAAGGGTGGAATTTCTAAGGCAATACAATCAAGCCAAGGTTGAGGCCTTATACCAGTTTGTCTTCCTCGATGAAACTTGGATATTTCAAAATGGGACCATAGGTCGCTCTTGGCAAAATGGAAACCAAAAAAGCGTGAAAGCTATTAAAACAGATGGTAAAAGGTATGTACTTTTACACAATTTGCACTATAAAATTTAAAACTAATATATTTTAGATACATTATATTACATGCTGGAAATGAAAATGGGTTTATTGAGGGTAGTGAAGCGATATTTTCTTCGAAAACAAAATTGAGCGATTACCATGGAGAGATGAACCAGGACAATTTTTTGAAATGGTTTCAACATCAGTTATTGGAAAAATTGGAGAGTCCATCTATGATTATACTGGATAACGCCCCTTATCACAGCATGATATTGAACAAAGTGCCCAACAATGCATGGACAAAAAAAAATATCCAAGACTGGTTGACAAATCAAAACATACCATTTTTAAACACAATGTTTAAAACAGAGCTATTGAGTATTGTTGCTCGGTACATAATGCTTCTTAATTATATATATTTTGGTCGGCAGTTTATATTTCTGTTGTTTATTCCTATTCTTAAAATAACTGCTTTTTTAGAAACAAACCACCTAAAATATACGTGATTGATGAATTGGCGGAACAACATGGACACAAAGTTCTTCGTCTGCCTCCTTACCATTGTATATTTAACCCTATTGAGTTAATTTGGGGCATAGCAAAAGGTTACTATAACAGACATATTGGTAGAGATGGTAACAGTGAAAAAGACTGTTTGGATATGTGGAACGAGGCTCTACAAACGGTTACCCCAGACATGTGGAAAAATAGTGTGCGACATACTGAGCAAGAAATTTTTAAATGGTATGAAAGAGAACGAATTTTTGATCGACCACCTTTAATAATCAACTTTGAGAGTGATGAAGATTCAGATTCAGACAGCGCTGAAGAAAGAAACTCCGACTAACTTTATTGTACAGAAAAAGCTTACACCGGTAGCTTACCTAATTTTAGAATGCATTTTTCTGTATGAATTCTGTAAAATAAATACCATGCATAAAATTTGGAGGACCCCATTTGGATTTTTATTCAGTACCTTTAAGCTATCAATTAAATATGGTAGTTTCATAGTGTCATCTGATCAATAATTGTCATACTTAATGATTATGCAAGTACAGATCTATAATTTTATTATACTATTATTTTTGTTCTCATTTGAGGTTAACATTGCTTATAAACCTAGATATGTAAATAATAAATTGTATTATTTTACAAAAAGTTTGACAACAATGTAAATTTTTCAACACACCCACCTTGATGACGTGCACGCCACTTTGTTTGGCGTTGACTATATCTTGAAAAGTGACATTATGTCATTTTTTTGACATTATATAGGTTTTTTGTTTGTATTATGTAGGTTTTTCTACAAATTGTCAACTTAGCACTAGCTGTTGTGCACTTGTGTACGCCTTCCATAGCTGTACATGTTGCCTAAACGAAATGATGCTTCAGCTGTCAATGTTTAGCTCTGATGTGATGTAGCATCTGCTTCAGAGATGGCATTATTGGAGGTCTAAGCTGTAAATTGTATACCATAGCTTGAAGGAAACGGCAGAGTGCATAGTGAGGATTTGTGTGCTGATAATATGTGTTAATGATATAATTCCATTGGATTCTTGTCTCAAGTACACTTACTTGAGATGTATGCAAAGCTAAGAATTAGTTGCGCATCCGGCATTCTGCAACCAACAAAGCATGATGGGGAACTGACTTGCACTTAACAGCGCTCATAGCGAGCAAACGCGGAGTGTACTATTTGCACACTAGGACTCTGGGCAACACGCTGACATTTTGTAGGTTTTTTAATAGATATTATACGCCGATATATATGCAGAAACACGTGTCATTAAAGTGCAACAGAAATAGTTTTGGGGAACACATTACGCGATAAAAATTTATCATCGGAAAGAAAGTTAGTTATCCACCTGTAAAGCATTTCTATAGAATGAGCCTCAAAAATATTAGATGTTTTTTTGAAAATAAACATGGTATGTTGTAAACAGACGTTTACTTATATACTAACCTGTCTTTGCCATTCATTTCTAGTTTCTGCGATTTTTTGGTAGGTATTCCCCATCATAGCGATCAACATGTTAATCAGAAGTATTGCGACAATTCCCATGAAAATCACAAAAAGAACCTACAAATAATAAAAAAAAACTATATAACCCTCTGTTTTTTTGCCTATAATTATACAGTATCATATAGGATCGTATCCAGGACGTACAGCATGACATAAAAGTCTCGGAATGGCTCTGAATTTTATCAGACAAGGTATTTTTTGAAAAAATCAAGGTCAAATTCAACTGTGACCTTGAATTTTACCTATACGTTCACTTTCAAGGTTCATTCTTAGCCAACTTAATTTTTTCAAATAGAAACTCCAAATTTTCAAGCCAACAATCGAAAAAACAGAAAATTTTGCGTTCAAACACAATTAAAGTCCAAGGTCACCAAAGATCAAATGAGTGCTGCTATCAAAACTTCTATAAAGCTCACATCAAGGTCAGGCCTTTGGTAAATTTTAACGGGTAAGTGAACGCTGACCTTGGATTTGACCTTGAACTTCACTTTCGAGGTTATTTGGAAGTCAATTTATTTCGTTGTGAAAGTCCCTATTCTTGATGCCGGCAACCGAATTAGCAGAAAATTCTACGTTCAGACGAATTGAAGACCATCAAGGTTTTGGTGATCACTAAAGGTCAAACGGAGGTCAAATGTATGCTGCTGAGAAATCCACTATGAATCTTACAAGATTAGCGACGAAAATAACGATCAAGGTCAGTTACTTAGTAAATTTTGATGAGTGATCTTGGATTTGACCTTGAAACTCACCTTCAAGGTCATTTCAAAGTCAACTTGATTTTTTTAATGAAAACACCTATTTTGTTGCCAGCATCCGGAAAGGCGGAACATTTTACATTAGAGCATGCAATACAATTCAAGGTCAGGATGACCGCTTGATGTCAAATAGGTTAAATAAAGGTCAAATAAGTGCTGCTAGTAAAATCTCTAGAAATCTCGCCGAGATCGTGAAGAAAATAACTGGTAATGTCACGTCTTTAGTAGCGGTGATCTTGGATTTGACCTTGAACCTCACCTTCAAGGGCATTTCAAAATCAACTTTATTTTCCAAATAGAAACACCTATTTGATGCCAACAATACAGAGAGCAGGAAATTTTATGTTCAAATGTGTATTAGATTTCAAGGTCAAGGTGACGACTAGCGGTCCCATACAGGCCAAATGTGTGCTGCTAGGAAAACTCACACTAATAGTGATGGAAATAAGGAAAAAAGGTCAGATCTTTGGATAAGTTTTAACGGGGGAACTATATGGTGCTCGCTACGAATGATTTTTTACCAATACTGTTCCTCCTGTTTATATTTGAAAAAAATGACCTTGAAGGTGAGGTCCAAGATCAAATCCAAAATCACTCGTCAAAATTCATTACCGACCTGACCCTGATAGTTATTTTCATCATGCACTAAACCTGTGAGATTTATAGAGGTTTTCCTAGCAGCACGCATTTGACCTTTAGTAGACCTTGGACTTTGATTGTGTTTGAACGTAAAATTTTTTGTTATTTCGATTGCCGGAATCAAAAATATTTCTATTGGAAAAAATAAAGTGGACCGGAAATTAACCTTGAAGGTGAAAGTCAAGTCCAACTTCAAAGTCACCGTTGAATTCCTTGCTGAAAGTTGCTGAAACCCTGACCTTGATCTTTTCCAAAAATGCCTTACCCGACAAAATGCAGAGCCGTTCCGGGACTTTTTTGTCACGCCGTATATGGTATTGACAATTCTACCATTTTATCCTTTTTTCCGACTCAATCAACTGTCCACCCTCAAAATTTGGAAGTCAATGATCCTAGTATCATACGGTATATTGGTATATGTAATGTATACTCGTATTACTGCATAAATTGCGTACCTTCGCTTCGTACTCATGTTCAGTTCGAGCAAAAGCATCGTAATAGTCTCCAAAGTTTGTCATCGACATCAAGAACATCGCCATTATAGACTCGATTGGAGTTGACATTGGGTTAGTGGCCGAGTCGTCTACATCGTCTGGAGTTAGGGGATTGTCGAAAGATAGGAATATGATATAATAAGCTGAAAGAAAAAAAAGCACACATTTCTTGTTACTTTAATCTTTATCCAATATTTTCAGTCATATGAGGATAAAAGTTGAAAAATCGCTATCCACTAATTTCCTGAGCAAATCGGTAGCGTAGATTCCGAATTTGATGTCAGTTTGGCACCTTGATCAATGGAGCTCCCAAGCGACTTATCTTCTATTCCAAATTCTGCGCTTTTCACTTTTTGAGAACCGTATAAGGATTCAACGCTCCAAAACGTACCAAGCTTTGTAGCAATGGAGAACAAACAGCGACTCCGGCCCTGGCTATATTTCGAGGTAGTAGCATGGAGGTAGCCTAGTGACAAGTGGTGTCCGGCAATTTATGTGATTTCTAGTGCTTAAAGTGCATGAGACTTACATGTTTGGCTACCTATCGAGCTAATAATTAATGCTAAAGGCATAAGATTTAAGAAAATGAGAGACATTTATTTGAAACTGCTATTGTTGATAGATTCTCTCAGAAGAAAAACTAAGACACTTTGAAAGAAGCAAGCTAACGGCATGAACGCCAATCAACGTTTCAAATAAAAACACATTAAAAACAAAGACAATTCATGATTTCTTAAGAAAAATACAACAGGAAGTGAAATCGAATATACCATTATTGGGAGCAGACATCAAGGAAAATATTGTGACAATGTGACAAATAGCGCGCCATCTGTTGGGCGAGTCACCTACTCGCCAGAGCTTAATTGCCGTGTATAGTACAGTAAATGGTGACATAAGAATTAGTCAGACATAAATAGTGGTGCATATAAATCAAGTTAAATAAATTAGTACATTTCTTTTTGTGGAATCCAGTGTTTTAATCCACACCCAAAAGAACCTAGAAAAATGCTACAATATGTATAAAGGATATGGAAGTAGAAATAATTCAGAGTAGGGAAGAAATAATAATTGCTTGAAATTTATTAGTTGAAAAAAGACAGAGGCATAATTCTTTAAACACGCTTCTCCAAAACTGAACCATTGGTGATTTAATGTGATAAACTGTCATTTTCAAAGCAAACTATGACAATATTAATTTTTTTCAATTAACAATAACAACGAATGACATTTAAATGATTTCGTATGTCTTACCCTTTCCGATATCCTAACGGTGAGAGTAGAGTTTGGAACACTGGGCATATAAAGCCGTATAGTTATTATTAATATGAATTATGCAAAAATTATAAATAAAACCCCTGTGATTCTGGATAGAGACGAAGGTTCATTTTTCATCCTAAATTTGACACTATGACTTTCTGACGCTTATATATGAATTCAGTGCCCCAACTTACCCACCGCCCTTTTGTGTTTTGAGAGCCATGATCTTGTCCTCGCAGTGAAGTAAGAAGCATTAAAGAGCCTCGGGCTAAAATTTGTGTCTAATAATATAATTTGATATTTCATTACCTTGAGAAAACCCCATGACGAACACAAGATAGATAGATGCAAATCTTAGAAGATCTCCCATCACCATACGATATATCATCACCACGAAAGGGCCCACTGTTTTAAATCCTCTGTAAAAATGTATATTATTCATAATTGTAAATATATATCATATGTCATAGCCTATTGCTTCTATCTAAGTATTCGTTCAAAACTGACCACAAAAATATACGAGGGATGTCTTTTAAGTTTTGCGTATAGAAACATAGTAGGCCGCGCGGATCGAACGTCAGTACTGAATCTTAACCTCACTCTTTAGTAAACTTAAATTCAAAGTTTCACAACAATACGTGCAGTGTTCTTACTACAGTGAATTTTTAAGTGTTACCAAGTCATTAGAAAAACGGAACTCAACCGAGAACATTTTCGCGCCATAATTTATTACAACTTTCAGAGACAATTATCGCAACAAGAATGCCTGTCTGTTTTCGGCAACGAAGCGCCACATCAGTCGACATTTTCCCGTTGGTATGGAGAATTCAAACGTGGACGGGTGAGTCTTAGCGACGATCCCAGGGTGGGTGCACCGAAAACGACAGTCCAGACCCAGGAAAACGTCGATGCTGTGCGCAAACTCATCATTGAAGATAGACATGTGACATATCGCGAGATTGAGGCATCCTTGAAGATCTCAAAGACCTCAATTCAAAAAATTTTACATGAAGAATTAGGCGTAAGAAAATTAGTTTCTCGTTGGATACGCCAGAGCAGGAAGCAGCCAGGGTTAATTGGAGTTAAAAAAAAGCTTGACCATTTCAATTCCGGAAACTCAAAAAATGTGCACAGCATTGTTAGTGGTAATGAATCATGGATTTACTGTTATGAACCAGAAAATAAACGACAGTCAGCTGTTTGGGTGTTCCAAGGTGAAGAAAAGCCAACAAAGGTCATCAGGTCTGGAAGTGTTTCTAAAAAGGTGGCCGGGACATTTGTGTCAAAAGCTGGTCATATTGCAAGAATTCCTCTTAATGAGCAAAGAACTGTTACTGCGGATTGGTATACCACCATTTATTTGCCAAAATTCATCACAGAGCTTCGAAAAATCAACCCCGAAAGAAGAATCATCCTCCACCAAGGCAATGCAAGCTCGCACACAGCCCAAAAAAAACGGAAGAAAACGTGAAATTATTGGACCATCCTCCATATACTCCCGATCTAAGTCCTAACGATTTCTCTACTTTCCAGAAAATTAAAAACAGACTGCGTGGTTCCAGTCACCAGAAGAAGCAGTTGACGCATTCAAAAATGCCGTTTTGCATCTGCCAGCAAACGAGTGGAATCAGTGCTTCGAAAATTGGTTCGAGCGCATGCATATGTGTATTAATCTTCGTGGAGAATACTTCGAAAAACAATAAAGTCATTTAAAACCAACTACCGTGTTGTTTTATTTCCATATGCAAAACTTAAAAGACATCCCTCGTAACTATATAACACGTTATTAAATGTTTACGTATTTCTATACCTGTTAACCACTTTATCTTACCTGCAAAAGAAGAGAAAATACGGAGCAGTCGTCAACATGACCATCACCGCGACAGTATCTTCCAGCTCATCTTCACAAGCAATCCTTAACCAAGGGATGATCAACATCAAAATGCAGGAAAATAGAAACATCACCCTGGAAGGTGACGTTTTCTACGGAAAAATCAACGAACGGTTACAATGGAACATTTCAACTAGAAAGGAAAGCTTTAAGCAAGCAAACTTTGTACAGGCTTTAGTATTGTGTCGAATAGTTCTGTTGGCGCCATCTGTTGGGTGAGTCTCCTACTCGCCAGAGCTTAATGGCCGATCTCTGCTTTTACGAGAACCACGTGGATCGCCTTCTAGATCGACGCGAATTGAATATACTAGATGTCGCTTTGTGGTTCACCCGGCCTTTCTCGAAGCAGCAATTGGGACTATATATAACTCGGCGGCCGGGAGATGGACGGAGAGAGTACAGATTACACCAAAGCAGAGCGGAGTGGAGTATAGTGCAGTCAATGGCTGCATAAGAATTAATCAGACATAAATAGTGGTGCATATGAATGTTCTATCAAGTTAGATAAATTAGTGCATTTCTTTTTGTTGTAATCCACATCCAAATAACCCAGAAAAACGCTACAGTATAAAAATTTGAAAAATATGGCTTCTGGGAAAAAGTAGCAAGTCCAGATTCCAAAATCGTTAGAACTATGCTACAAATCATTTGCACAAATGCATTTCATCAAATTAGTTTCATACGCAATTGGTCACTAAGGTGCCTACTTCACGCAAGCTTAATACTTCTCTTCACTCATTAGCAGTTGTCGCTTGCACTGGATAAGCTATGCTCAGCTGATCCATAAAATAATTATTACCAAATTTTCGAAAAACATTCTTGTCCCAAGAAATCTCGCCTCTCTGACAGCTGCAGCCAAGTATAAGAACGACCCTATGGTAATCAAGACTTCGGCACTGAATCTAAGTTTTGCTTCAAATGAATCAAGCTGCATTAGTCTACACTCCTCTTGGAGGTTATCCCACCATTCCTCCATATCCAGATCGTCGTCTTCTGTTTCGTCATTCTTTACTATAATATAAAATGAAAAAACAAAACGATACGAAAATTGAAGTTAATCTCAAATCTGATGAATTGGAAATTCTTCTACATGTATACTAAATGTTTTTAAACATTTTGTAAGTAATTCAAGATTTCAGAAAAATGTGAGAAGTTAATAATTTGTTGTGCATCCTGAGTTGTTGAAAGTTTTCTCGTCTTCAGCCATAATCCACAGCTCTCCACAACGTATTGAACGAGGATTGACTCAAAAATAAGCTTCCCACATTCTTTTCAGGCATTTTTAATTGCCCGTCTCAGCTTTTTCAGAAGCATGTTCCCGAACCGTGCAAGATTTGCTTAATCTTCGCCATAACTTCCTCAAATGTCAATTTCAACTATCGCTTATACTTTTTTGTAACAACAGACTTTATCACAAAAACACTTCATCGATATGGTTGTAAAGCTAATCGCAATGGGTGTTCTTTTTTCTACGTCATTAAGTACAGGGTGCGGCACAAAGGACGGATGTTTTTGAAATGGTTAGTACTCTCCGCCTATTCGGGCGAGAGTGGTGTCTGACATACTGAGTCTATCACGGCTGTAGAGCGTGAGTTTCCCAGCCACTTCAATATTTCGTTACCCTAGACGAAGAGTTACACTGTTGTAAGTCTCATTTTCTTAAAATCTGGCTTTTCGCTATTACATAAATGTGTGTCGGATATGCCTAAGTTTTCATAGCATTTCAAATTCCTAAGTTCAATATCATGGTATAGGCAACCTAAGTTACATAGTTACTCAGTGGTATGTGTCGTAACAATAAAATGTTCAACCCTTAGTCCATGCATGCAATCAGGAAATATATGCCGCACACAGCTGCATAGAAAGGGTTTTGAAAAACTCTGAATATTACTCCACGCTTTCTCTTCTACGTTTACTTTTAAAAGTAAATTCTAAAAAGCCTTCCAAAATTATGCAACTCAAAGGTAACGATTTCACGGACTACAAAACATGGGCAACTATACTAAGTGACATATAAATCCGAACACCCAGTTTAAATGGTTTTATTTTAATAAAAGTTGGTGAATGTATTTATCTTACTGTAAATAACAAGTGAAAAAATGTTCAGCCTTATCAGTTGGACATTCCGGTTTCTATACTGCTTTTTTTTAATTCACTAACGCTCTAAAAATGAATATTTCAGCCGCAGTAAAGAATCGACGTTGGCGGATTTTGGTTCTTGAGATCCTTTACGATCGGTTACGATGCCTAGAATACGGACACCTGTACGATTTTTTTTTCTTTGTATTGTATTTTCGTTCAACCTGTACCGTGGTAATTGCTGCGGAGTGTTTAACCACCGAATCCGTACAAAGTGCGTCCTTGTCTCTTTAATGCATATACGACGTCCATTGCAGTGACAGTCTTCCTTTTAGCGTGCTCGGTATAAGTGACTGCAGCCCTGATTACGTTCTCTAAGAAGACTTTGAGCACTCCTCGAGTTTCTTCGTAAATCAATCCGGATATACGTTTTACTCCTCCACGTCGCGCCAATCTTCTTATGGCCGGTTTCGTAATTCCCTGGATGTTATCCCTCAAAACTTTACGATGCCTTTTCGCTCCTCCTTTTCCCAATCCTTTACCACCTTTACCGCGTCCAGTCATTTTTCAAGATTCTCTCGCACGTCGAACTGTTAAAGCGAACGGGCTGTTGCCAACTGACACGACTGTACGATGAGTAGAGTACGGAGACCTGTACGATTTCGTCAACTTAGTGAGTTTGATAGGGGCCGTTTAGTGGGACTTCGGGAAGCTGGATTTTCTTTTCGGGCAATTGCAGTTAGAGTGCAAAGAAGTGTAGACACTGTGGTTAGGTGTTGTCAGGCATGGCTTCGAGAAGGCCGTACGCAAAGGGCAAGGGGCACTAGACGCCGCCGTAGAACAACAGACCGTGAAGATCGCCGCCTAAGATTATTGGCCTTAAGGGACCGTTTCTCCACTACCAGGTCCATTGCAAATGAATGGTTTGCAGAACACGGAAGACCTATTGGCATGCGAAGTGTTTACCGACGAATGAGAAGTTTTGGCTTGTTTTCATACCGGCCACACTGGGTCCTCCCTTTAACTCGAGAACACCGACGTAATCGCCTTGAGTGGTGCAGACAACGGTCACTCTGGGATCAGGAATGGAACAGTATTGTCTTTAGTGACGAGTCTCGACTTTGTTTAGGCATGCACGATGGTCGTGCCAGGGTTAGAAGGCGACGTGGTGAAAGGAGGAATCCACAGTTTTTTGTTGAAAGACATGTTCATCACACTGTTGGAATTATGGTTTGGGGTGCTATAGCTTATGGTTCCAGGTCACCTTTAATCTTCATCAGAGGTAACATGAACGCGCAGCGTTATATCCACGAAGTTCTAGAACTCCATCTTTTACCCTATCTTGACACCCTGGCAGATCCAACTTTCCAACAAGATAATGCCCGACCACATGTTGCAAGAGTCACAATAGACTTCTTTCAACATAATGATGTCACATTGTTACCATGGCCACCAAGATCTCCCGACTTATCCCCAATTGAGCACGTGTGGGATATGATGGGTAGGAGATTGCTCAATTTGCAACGTCCTCCTCAGACTCTAGAAGCACTTCGAGAGGAGTTGGTGGTTGCCTGGAATGAGATAGCACAGGAGGACATTGACCACCTGATCAGAAGCATGCCTAGGCGCGTTGGAGAATGCGTAGCACATCAGGGTGCATCCACACATTATTAAAGGTCAAAGGGCTTTAAAGCAGTGCAATCATTTTGAAATTTTTCTCATTTACTTATTATGCTTCATTAAGTACTTATACAAAATTATATTAAAATAAAACCATTTAAACTGGGTGTTCGGATTTATATGTCACTTAGTATATGTACAATTACAAATTGGTGAATTTCATTAATATCGCTACCCTTAAGTTCTCTCAATCTCCACTAGAGATATAATATAAAGTAAGCCACTCTCACCACGAATGGAACGAAGTACATATGTATTCGAGAATATCGAGGTACACGATCAGATTCTACAGGTGGAGATAATGCGCATCTCTATATCAAAAACAATTCCTCAGAATAAAATATTAGTAATGAGAAGCATCCTACCTGCAGTAGACCAAGCATATTATAACGCATTTTTGCCAAAATAATTTTCAATAATATGATTAGTCGTTAAATATTTGTTTTCTACTAGTTTTCTGCATATTAATCTAACAAAACCTGTTTTATTTTTATTTGTCTACAAATTTACGTGAACTACAGTTACTGATTTAGCTGTAATTAACTTTTCGGTTACTATGACATATAGTTGTATGTTTTTTTTTGCAAAATCTATAAGTATAAAAAACAAATTTGAATCGGTTTTTGGTCAAATATTAAATACCTTGCCAATACAGAATATTATCCCAAATCCACAGTAAGATGCTTTTCTTTGATATGGCATAACAACAACCAAATTTTTGTCCTCCGTGTTTCTCAAAACTTAATTAATTGCACATAGAACAGTGTAACCCTAACGTAACGGTTTGTTGTATCAAAAGACCACCAGGAGCTCCACGAACGGTTCGAACCCCTGAAAATGTCGAACGCTATTTCATTGTGAACCCAAATCCGTCAATAAATTTCTTTTTTAGTAAAAATTACCGATTTAGTGATTTTTTAAAGCCGTCCGTGGGACACCAAGCTAATACAGGGTGTCCGCAAAGTTGGGGTTTTCCTTTCCAGGCACAACTACGCTTGATATAACAAAGCTAATTAATGTGTGGTGAAACGTGACCGAGAAAGAAAAAAAATAAATGAAAAAGTATTCTGTTCAGTTGAATTGAAATTCCAAGTGCGGCTCTGTCGTAAAATCCGTACTTTCATCGTAGTTTCTACGTCGCGTCGTGTAACTACAGTATATTCAGATAAGAGATAGACCGGATGTAAACAAAAGGTTCGGGTGATTTTCACGCTAACGCCGCCGTCTCGACGTAAAACAGGAGCCCTCATTGGTCAATTCGCAATTAAATGCCTATGCTGAGCGGCAGAGCAGTCGTATCAAGGCAGAGTCACATTCAGGTTCAGACGTGTTACGTATGTCGTGTGCATCATTGCAATTTGATATTTCTTTGG